TTTTTATTGCAGTAACTGGTTTATAACTATAAAAGTTTCAGGTGTACAACATTATATTTTGATTTCTGTGTAGATTACATCGTGTTCACTACCCAGGGACTAATTACAATCTGTCAGCACACACATGTGCCTAATCACCTCTTTTGCCTTCTTCCCTCTCACCTCCCCCTCTGGTAACCACCAATCCAATCTCTGTTTCTATGTGATTGTTGTCATTTTTACCTTCTGTTTATGAGTGAGATCATACGGTATTTGACTTTCTCCCTCTGACTTATTTTGCTTAACATAATACCCTCAAGGTCCATCCATGTTGTCACAAATGGCTGGATTTCATAATTTCTTACAGCTGAGTAGTATTCCATTGTGTATATATGCCACATCTTCTTTATCCATTTATCCTTTCTTGGGCACCTAGGTTGCTTCCAAGTCTTGGCTATTGTGAGTAATGCTGCAGTGAACATAAGGGTACGTCTATCTTTACATATTTGTGTTTTCGTTTTCTTCGGATAATTACCCTACAGTGGAATACCTAGATTGTATGGTAGTCTATTCTTAACTTTTTGAGGAATCTCCATACCGTTTTCCATAGTGGGTGCACCAGTCTGCACTCCCAACAGCAGTGTATGAAGGTTCCCTTTTCTCTACATCCTCTCCAACACTTGTTGTTTCCTGTCTTGCTAATTATAGCCATTCTGACAGGGATGAGGTGATATCTCACTGTGGTTTTGATTTTCATTTCCCTGTTAGTGATGCTGAACATCTTTTCATGTGCCTGTTGGCATCTGTATATCTTCTTTGGAGAAATGTCTGTTCAGATCTTTTGCCCATTTAATTGAGTTTTTAGCTTTTTGTTGTTAAGATGTATGAGTACTTCAAATATTTTGGATATTAAACACTTACCAGATATGTACTTCTACTTTTTATGCTTCCTGGCTTTTGAAACTTGTGAATGTATTACTTATTCTAACAATTAAATTAAAAAACAATTTGTACACTATGATCCAATTTTAGTAACAAAACAAATAAATATATATGAAATCGAACAATACATACCACCCAGCGTGGTGGTTATTCTGGATACAGTAGGAAATATATATTGTACTAGCCCTGTGGAATTTGATCCTATGGAATAAGAAAAGGAATAGTGTACTTTCAAGGTGTCTGCCAGTTCTCTGCATGGCCAAGGCAGGTGCCCCACTTGGCATTTTAAACCAGTTGCTCCCTAAAACTACCGCGTATTTTCACTCGAGCTGCTGTTACATCCCAGCACATGGGTGAGATTGGCTTTTAGGTCCTTCGTGCAGGACTTTACATTTCAACTTGTTAGACTAGGTCCATCTTTGAAACATTTTGAGACCTCCATCCATTCAGTCATTCCACAAATGTACTCCTGAGGACCCTTCTTCACCCAGTGGGGACTACTGGGCTTTCCTTCCCTACCTTAGGTCATCTGCAGAGGTGGCAAGAGCCCAGGAAGTTGAGGTGATCCTGTAGTGAGGATGAGGATACAGGCCTATAGACAGCAGGGAACAGATGTGTGGCTAACAGGCTGCGGTTGGCCTAGTGTGAGTGACGAATAATGAGAGCCTGGCTCTAGCCGAAGGCAGAGTTCAGCTTAGCCACTGACTGGTGGATGTGCTGCTGGCAAGGAGGGTTGGGGTGAGCAAGAGCTGGGCTTCCACAGCCTGGGAAGCCTCCAGCAGGGGAATGGGTATCACACAGGAAAGGCCTTCCTCACTCAAGAGGTCTCTTCTCCAGGCAGAAACCTGGAGGGCAGGGACAAGAATCTCTCCCCTTTGCTGAGCAGTGCCAGGTGTTGGGCACAGTGGTGAGAGTTGACACTTAATCCCCACGACATCCTGTGAGGAAGGTTTGATTGTTACCCGCAGTGGCAGATGAGGACCTCCAACGCTGAGAGTCAAGCAAGCTGACCAGGGTCACACAGCTGCACAGGGGTGGAACAAGGACCCAGATGGCTCAGGCTGACACTAAGCTGTAACTCTTTACCACTATAGTACTCTTGGTGTACTTGTGTTGCTGAAATGGAGAAATGACCTAGCCAGGGTGCCAATCTGAAGTTATGTTGAGCCTGAAGCTACTCTTGTAAAAAGGAAAACCTTGGAGGCAGACAGACCTCACTGGGCTTGCACTCTGGGTGGGTAGCTCAAGAACCCTGTGAGCACGGACAAGTCATTTAACCCTCTGAACCTGTTTCCTCATCTGTAAAAACGGAGGGAATGGGTTCCCTTGGCCCCTGTTGTAATTAAATAGGACAGTGAGTGTAAAATTGTCATTAGCACATGGCCTGACCCGAAACAGATGCTTAACACCTGTTCTCAACAGAGAGGCTGCTGAACACCATGGAAAGGACAGAGTTGGGGCTGCACGGATAGGGAGAAAGTTCCTTTGGAAGTCTGGCAGCTCTGCTCCTTCCCATGGACAGGGCTCTTAGCTATGTTTCCCCAGAGTGATCAGCAGGAACACTCTTAGAATAAAAAGGGTCTTTTGGATTTATTTGCAGAGAAAACAGTTAGGAGAGGGCAAGCCGGGAAGAAAATAAAGGAGAGACTAGAAGGCACAAAGAAATCAAGAATATAGATAGTAGCTTTAAAAAGGCAAGGAACCGGGGCTGAGTCCCAAGTGTGGCAGGATGACAGAAAGATGTGCCCCAGGGACTGCCAAGGCCAATTTTGGCTGAGGAAGAAGCCTCAGGGTCTTCCTAAGCCAGGCCCCTTCCTCCTAATCTGCCCACCAGAGGCACAAATGGCTCAGTTAAGTAGCTCAAAATGGCTGGATTGTCCTGGGCTTCTCACAAGTTTAAAAAACCTTCTTAAAGCTAAAGGATTTTTTCGTTTGTTTGACCTGCTCCTTTCAAGAGGGAAAATCTCTTCTGGAAGGTGACAGGCTCTGACATCCCCTGCCTTGGAAGCAGAGCCTTCTCCCAGCCCTCACAAGCTGTCTTTGCAACCTTGTCCCAGCTATTGCAGACAAGCTTTTATGCTGAGTCAGTTTGGCTGCCTTCCAGCCAAGAACTGAGTGGAGGCTGCAATGCAGGGGCCATTAAAGGAACTATTTTTAGTCCCCATTTCAATCTTATTCAGCACAGGCGGTGAGATGCCAGGCCTGAAGGTGGCCAGACAAAGGGGATGCCGGCAGGAACAGCGTCCTAGGCAAGTAGGTCAGGGAAAAGACAAGGCGATCTCACTACGTGGAGAGAAAAAAGCACTCAGAGGCTCATGCTGCTGCCCAAGGTGCAGAAGACAGAACAGTGGGAGCTGCTGGCAGACAAGTGGGCCCTCTTGCATTATCTGAGGAGTCCCCGAGACAAATGAGGGAAGGGAAGAAAGTATAGTGACTTCCAAAACAAGACTAGGGCAATGTACACCTGGGGAGCTTGTTAAAAATACACTTCCTCGGCCCATCTTAGGTCAACGGAGTCCCAATATTAGAGTGGGGTGTGGGGATCTGCATTCCAATCTGCTCCCAGGATGGGTGACCCTCACAGAGGTTGAAGTTCGAGGACCTCTGGACTGGAAAATATCTACCCCTGGAATTCAAAGGAATGAAGCAGGCTGAGGGGAAGGAGAGGCAGATGTAGTGGCGGTCATTTAACAGCCCCTGGAGGCGCCATTCTCCTTTCCTCCCTGGGCTCAGGCTTCCATCTGTAAAATGAAGGGCCCTGGCAGGACCAGGAGCCTCCTAGTTCTTCCTCTGAAAATCCTTGTCACTGGGCTGCTCAGTGATCAGCTGAGAGGACAGGAGCAAACAGCTTTTACACCAGAGGTCCATGTTATCCAAGGACAATCAGGAAAAGTCCACTTAGAGTGAATACATGTACACTGGGGACCAAACTTCAGAGTATGTTGTGGCAGAAAATATCCGTTTGATTGGGACTATAGTGAAAAATAAAATTTATGTATATTGAAAGTTGCTGAGAGTAGATCTTAAAAGTTTTTACCTCCTTGCCCCAAAAAAGTATCTATTCGAGGTGATAGATGTGTTAACTAACCTTATGGTGGTAATCATTTCACAACACACAGCATATTGAATCATTGCGTTGTACACCTTAAACTTACACAAGGTTATACATCAATTATACTCAATAAAGCTGGAAAAATAAAATTGATTTCACCTTGTAGTTAGCAAACTCTAGATTATTCTTGCAACTATGTAATAATTCTTAAATATTTTTACATCTTTATATCTTATTTCTTAAAATGAATAATGAATCAAATACTGATTTTTTGGGGGGGATGGGGTATAATTTTTCTGACAAAACTGTCCAAGAACACTTTATGCCATCTTTCACTTTGTTTGACTTTTGCAAAAAAGGTAATTCTGCAAACATTTTGCAAAACATTTCTAGGAGGTGTTACCTATTTCCCTAGGACTTCTCAATTCCTTGAAAGTCAAACCATTATTTTCTGAGGCACCTGTCATGTCATCACCATGAAGAGTCTCCTAGGATGTCACCTGGTCTCATCGCCAGAGCCTCACCAGACGGTGGCTATGCATGTGATTCTCCAACATCACTCTCATCCACTTCATGAAATCCTGCAAGATGTATAATTATTTTTTGTGGTGTATTTATCTTCTATTTGTGTTGCACTGTCAGACATTTATAACATCCAATGATCAGAGAGAATTTGGACATCAGAGACACTCACGCCAAGGGCTAGTGAAAACGGTGATGGGAGGGGAAAGAACTTTTGCGTTTTGTGCTATGCCAACTTTGGCTTCCCCTGCCACCTCCTAACAGCAGGAACTTAGGATAACAAATACCAAGATGAGGAAGACTTCCCAAAGGAGAAATAAGTCGGGTGAGTGGGACAAACGGCAGCATCTCTCTGCAGAATCAGAATCTTCTGCACGCTGCTTTTCTTGGCTGCCTAGAGAAAGCCCATCCACAAATGCTCTCACACTGTGCCGTGATTCCCACCTGCTCTTCCAGACTGCAAAGCCACCCCCCTCCTCCCCAAGGAGCCACGTGACAAAGGACACTTGGTCAGGCAGCACTTTAATAGGCTCAAAGTAAAACACCTGTCTTTGGAGACTATCAAGAGCCACGTGTGGGCCAGAGCAGACAGCAGAGGCACAGCACTTGGGGCCTAGGGGGAAACAACAGGCTGAGCGGGAGGTCAGCGATGGCTGAAGAATCCTTGAGGATGGTTATATTTAAAGGGCTTCATCCTGCTGGGACCCCTAGAGAAAAAGGAGAAGGGAGATCAGTTAACACCATGCCCTTTGGGCTGATAAAATAAATTACAATTCATCCACACAAGGGAATACTATGTGTCTGTTAAGGGAAAAAAAAAGGAACCTGTGAGAAAAGCAGACTGCAGAACAATATGTCAGGTGTGACATTTGTAAAAAATGTTTTTATTGCCTGCAAATCCATGAACACAAACCTGGAAGGGCCCTCACTGATAATGGGCACTTCTGGAGACGAGACTTGGGCACTTTCACTTTTAATACAATTGTGTGTTGTTTACATGTTTAACAACAAAGATGTTTTATTTCTATAAAAAAAAATTTTTAAAGTCTTCCTTTGCAGGGAGGAGTCTGGAAGTGAAAAAAATCTGCACTAAGTGCCTGCCAAGAGCCACGCGCTTTACACTTCTACCTCTTAAATGCGATTTCTATCATTTTAGAGTTTTTACAGACAAAGAAACAGGCTCAGGGAGGCAAACTGTCTGCCCAACATTATATGGTTAGAAAGTAGCAGAGCCCAAATTCAAAACCGGGTCTGACGCCAAAGCCTGTTGGCCATAGGTAGGCTAACAATCCTGGCCAAAGCCTGGACCCCGCAAAGCTTAGGTGCTTCAGCTGTAATCCTGGGCCCCCAAGCTACACTTCCCACAGGGTCCTCTTCCGCACAACTCCACAGTGAATGACGTCCAGCTAAAGGGCTTCTTACATTCATCTGCCTATGACTGACATTCAATGGTAACCAGAAGGTGACACCTGGATCTTGGTTTGAGGGAGGAAGGGTGAGAGGGAGCGTGTATATGTGTGTGTGTGTGTGTGTGTCAGAGATTGCAGAGATGAGGGGAGAAAGGTTTTTATTTCAACACCACTCCAACTACTTAATTGAGGGCTTAGTCTGCCTGCACTGTGCCTGGCACCTTACCTGCTCCGTCTGGTTTAATTTCATCCTCCCAACACCACCTGAGGTGGATGCTGTTTTACCAATGAGGAATCTGAAGCTCAGGGGGGCTAAGTATAGACCCTAATCACACAGGTAGGAGCTACAATGTGAACCTAGGTCTTTCTGGCCCCAAGGCCTTTGCTAGTAACTGTGATGTCATAAACCTCTCAACATAAGAAGGGTGCAGAGTCACCCAGGCAAGTCTAGGCATATGGCTGGTGGAGAACTCATAACCTGAAGGTACTCAGCCACTGGCAGAGCAGACCATGGATCTCTTGCTGCCCAGGCAAGCACTTTGAAGCCCAGCCCCCTGGCCTAATGCCAGTGGTTAGCTGGACTCCAGCCCAAGAATCTCACATCTCATCAGTCATAGAGTTAATTGGATCTGAGTAGCTAAAGGAGCACCTTCCCAGAATGCCCTGCGAGAGGAGCTCAGCTTGGGTGACATACAAAGCACTTCAGGAAATGGGTCTTTGGGAACCATTAGACAGCAGAAAATAAACACTGGCCATGTGAGAGCTCTCACCCTGGAAATGTGCTATGGCAGGCTGGGAGGGAGAGAAGAGCTGAGGTCTCACACAGACCCACTAGGGAGGGCAAGTCCTAGAAGACACCAACATGTACTGCCAGCTCAGCCTCCCAGCAGCCACTCGGGGGCTGGAGCTGTTTATTATCAGATAGCACGACGAACCAGGCCAGGTGGAGGTGCCAGACGGAGGTGTGAGGATGCTGGGACAGCTTCCAGGGGCCGGACTGACTGACTGAGTAGAAGGTGAGGGGCAAGTAAGGCATCTTTTAGACTGACAGGGAACGGGGATGTCCTGATTACAAACAGATTATAGCCCTTCTCCGTTCCCAGACTCCATTCCTCCCCAACCCCTTGCCCAAAAGGAACGAGATGCCTGAGCAGTGTGGACTCTGGAGTTTTGGACCTGAAGGAAAAACATGCGTTAGGGGATGAAAGGGAAGGGTCCCAACACCAAAGAGAAAGGAAAAGTAGGGAGAAGTGCCGTGAGCGCAGACAACTAAATACCAAGCTGTCAAGACCAGCTGGCATTTTCTGAGGCCCTGTCTGTGCCAGGAACCATTCTGGAAGCTTTAGATAAATTATCTCTAATTCATCATGAGCTAGAAGGTAATACTTCCACTCCAGCCTTTAGGAAACAGGCTCAGCTGAGCTGAAGTGCCTCTTCCAAGGTCACATGGCTGGTAACAGTTAAGTGCAGACCTGCAATTTGTGTCTTACTTCAGAGCTGGTTCCTTCTCTAACACCCAACTGCCTAAAGCTGAGATTCTCACAGATGTGTGAGCAACATAGGAAGAGAGCAGACTGGAGACCAGTGGGGATACACAGAGTTTAAAAGGCTTATTTGGACAGTAAAAAGCGAACTCTGTTGTTTTCCACAGAAAATATAGAAAGTAAAGCTTGGCCAAATCCTCTTGGTTCATGGTCTGGTGCCATTCACTCAGTGGGCGGCCCATCTTTAGGAGGTGTTTGTGAAGAACAACTGGACCAGGCTGGTAGGAAGTGGGCTGCCAGCAAAGCTTCAGAAAGGAGGGAGCAAGCTTTCCCCAGGAAATACAGCTGTAGGATTTTAATTTCCACTGTGACCAGAGACAAGTGTACCTGGGGATGCACATGCCCTCCATGCCAGACTCTGATCTCTGCCCCAAGTCCCAATGAGAAGCAGAGCTGGAGGTGCCCAGAGCCCTGGTGCTCCTGCCCCTCCCGTCACCTGAAAAGCCGCAGACACATCTTCTCCTGGGGAAACTCCTTGGGCCCCTCCACGCTGTCATCGTGGCTCTCCGTCTCCAGGTAGACGTCCAGCAGTACACACAGGCGCTGCAGCTGGTTGGTCAAGAGCTGATGGCTGGGCCGGGGGCCACACAGCTCCTTGTAGCACACGTTGACCTCGCTCTCCATGGCCTATAGGGTGGGAAAGCCAGAAACTCAGCACTACCTTCAGACCAGCCAGGGAGGAGCTGGGCCACACAGATCAAGCTTGACTGACTCGTCCTGAGGCTCCCTCTCCTCAAGACAATAGGATGCCTTCCTGATTCTGATCCATAATGTTCCCCACCTTACATGCACACAGCCAAGAAGACGGAGGTGTGCAGAGAAGGAATCTCAAGATCCAAGTCAGAAGGTGTTAGGGTTAAATACGTGCTCCACAGCCAGAAGGCTGCTACTGAATCAAATCAACATGCATAACAATCGTTAACAGCTGCAACGCTCTCACACATCATGTCCTTCTAGCACTTCTATGCTTCTGAGTTTATTCACATTCCCACAGAAGCCCAAGACAACAACCTTTCAAGGCAGGTATTTCTATTATCTCGGTTCTATTCGTGGGGTGAAACCTGTGGACCCCAAGCCACGTAAGTTGAGATGGGTCCAGGCTCTTTCCTCTACTACACCATTAAGCCTCGAAGAAATTTTACAAATCCTGGCAGGCCCCTCTGTCACAGGAATTGTGCCAGTGCCCAACCCCTCATCCGTGGCTGGCTCTGCCACAGCCCATCTCCCCATGGAGGCTCTCCCTGCTCCTCTTGTCACGCCAGCAGAGCCTCACCCGAATATTGTCATCGTTGCTGTTGGTTTTCTCCCCTTTCCAGTTGAGACAGAGCTGGAAGATGGGTGGGATGGAGGAGTAGCCAGGATTCAGCACCACAGCAGCCTGGAGTTTGGCTGGGAAGGGAGGGGAGAGGAGGAAAATTCAGTTCTGAGATCTGGCTTGCTAGCCCCTGAGGCTAGCTCAGATGTCTTATATTAACCCCAGTGCTGCAGAACACATCCTGATACTGATTTTTTTTTTAAACCTATTTATCTATCTTATCTATTTTGCTGAGGAAGATTCACCCTGAGCTAACATCTGTGCCAACCTTCCTCTTCTTGCCTGAGGAAGATTTGCCTTGAGCTAACATCTGTGCCAACCTTCCTCTGTTTTGTATATGGGAGGTTGCCACAATACGGTGTAGGTCCACACCCAGGAAGTGAACCCGGGCTGCGCGCCAAACTTAATCACTAGGCCACGGGACCGGCTCCTGATACTGACTTTTACTTTTGGTCTAGAATCTCCGAAGTAGAACTGCCAGTTTGCAGAATGTAAGGTCCTGTGACTCTGGTCCCTCCAAGGACACAGAGGTGTGTAGACTCCCCAGGGTCTGGTCCACATTAGGTCTGCCCAAGAGTCCCATTTGCTCCTTTGACAAAAGTTTGTTTTAACTGGCATTTATTTGCTAGCAAGTTAACGATTTTCCCACGTGAAGGCTTCCTGTTTCTTGTTTTCAGCAATACTGTATATCAGCCATTACATCAAATGTATTTTCTCTATCCTGTTCCTTTTGCAACTATATTTTTTGTTACGTGAAACTTTTTAATAGCCAACATTTACTGAGTACTTACTACATTCCAAACACTGTGCTAAGCCCTTTATGTAAATTTTATTTCATCCTAACAAAGATTCTTTGAGATGGGTACCATTATCATTATATCCATTTTACATATAAAGAAACTGATAAAAACTTCCCTAAGGTCAAACAGTTGCAAACCAGGAGTGCCAAGTTTAACTAGAACTGCCTGATGTCAAAGGTGTGTTCATAATCATTACATGAAATATTTGTATTTTTGAACAGTCATTTTTTTCCCTGGTGACAGCCTTCGTCTTTTTTAATAGGACGACAACATTTATCCTCTCCATGGATGGACTAAGTATGCTATTCCTTTTCCATTATTCATGGAGAGGGAAAAAACCTCTCTGACCCACCAGTTAATTCAAGCAACAGAGGATAACAGAGTGCAGGTTAAGACAATTCTTTCTTGACAGTCACAACATTTATTAAAAAGTGATTCTTTTCGTCACTGCTGTGTTTTCTGTCATAACAGTCTCCATAAATTTCTGTATTTACCTCTGTTCACCAATTTTGTTTGTTTTTTTTTTTTTGAAGAAGAAGATTAGCCCTGAACTAACATCTGCTGCCAATCCTCTTTTTGCTGAGGAAGACTGGCCCTGAGCTAACATCTGTGCCCATCTTCCTCTATTTTATATGTGGGATGCCTACCGCAGCATGGCTTGACAAGTGGTGAGTAGGTCCACCCCCAGGATCCAAACTGGTGAACCAAGGGCCCCAGAAGCGGAACGTGCGAACTTAACTGCTGTGCCACTGGGCTGGCCCCACCAATTTTCTGTTTTTAATTCATATTATGTTGTTTTTTTTTTTTTAATGTCCTTATTTTTTTTTTTTTTTAAAGATTTTATTTTTTCCTTTTTCTCCCCAAAGCCCCCCGGTACATAGTTGTGTACTCTTCGTTGTGGGTTCCTCTAGTTGTGGCATGTGGGACGCTGCGTCAGCGTGGTCTGACGAGCAGTGCCATGTCCGCGCCCAGGATTCGAACCGACGAAACACTGGGCCGCCTGCAGCGGAGTGCGCGAACTTAACCACTCGGCCACGGGGCCAGCCCCATACTATGTTTTTAAACTGACTGAAAACCCAATTGAAAGTTTTCAAACTGATCTGTTATAAAATCATTTAAGGATTATATTTATTTGGAATGGTTCCTCACTTATCTAAATTTCACTCTTCTAAGTTTTCAAATTCTACAATGCTTCTAATGAAAATTTTCATTATCACAGTCTATGTATGAATCTAGAATACTTGTCTTTCCAAGCTTTCATCTGCTCAGTCAGGAAGCAGAAGTGATTTCTTCCAATGACTTCCCACCCTCAGGGCTTATAAATTTCTTGGACTGCATATTTTGTGCCCTTTTAAAACAGTACTCCATGTTGTTTAGGGATGAGGTAAAAGTATTTTTAAAAGGGGGAGAGGATGGGAAGCAAATGCATAAATTCCAAATAGTAGTCACTTCTCATGAGGGAGAGAATAAAGTGGGATCGGGGGCCTCAACTGTACCCAAAATATTTAATTTCTTCAGAATATTTTTTAAAAAAACACAAAGGAAGGAAAACGAGAGAGAAGGGAAGAAATTGGGGTAGAGAAACTCTAATATCAAAGAGTGCAACCTTTCCTTACATTTCTCACACTGTCTTAGAACTAGAGACAACTCCCTTGGCACCGAGCCCCAGGGGTCAGGCCTGTGGGCAGTGCCAGGCCTGCCGAGGCTGGGGCCGGACAGCACCCAGGTGGCTCCAGCAGGAAGCCCTGGAGAGTCAGATGCCAGCAGAGCTGAGAGGAACCATAGCTTTCCATGCCTCCAAAGTGAGTGCAGGAACTGCAGAGAGGGAGGAAGGTCCTGCAAACCTGAGGGTGACATGTCAGCCGTTCTGCGAGGAGAGGGTCAAACAGGTGTCTGATTCTAGAGAGCAGTAAAGCAAGGAGGCTGAGAGCTCAGGCTCAGAGGTCAGACTGCATTTATGACTAAGCCTTAATTCCCTGACCTCTGAAATGGGAATATTACCACCCCCAGGACTGTCATGAGGATGAAATGAGATAAAGCACATATGTAACTGTGTTACAGAACAAGTCCTCGCTGAATGGTGGTTCTCACAATCACTGGCAGATTCCAGGATCTTTCGCTTCCTTTGGGCAACTCCTAGGAATGTTTTATTCTTAGCAGCCCCCCTTGATGAGAACCACCGTGATCAGCAGAGCAATTACCTGTGCCTCTTTCCACGAGAGCCATGTAGTAGAGATTGGTGTCTCCAGCCAGTCCCGCCTCCACAATGTCTTTGGTGAAATGCAGCTCCTAGAAGTCATCACAGACAAGGAGTGAACTCTTCGCTCCTTTAGTCAAATCTCTTGCCCTTCTTGTGGCAGGGCAGGAGCTGAAAGGTGACATGGGCCTGTAGTCCCCAGGACAGGAAGGGTGACCTGTCACTCCTCCACCTACCATGTAATCCTCATGGGCAATCGTCACCCACTTCACCAGGCGAGAGACAACCTTTGCAGGGAAAAGGTACTGGCAATCGCTGGTAACTGGCACAATGCCATGTTCTAAAAGACAGCAAGACAGGTGGTGTCACAGGTAGAAATCAGGTGCCACAGCTGGGTAACTAGCATCCTCTGGAGGGCTCAGATGGCCCTGCCAGTTGCCCAGGTACACCTGGCAGTCAGAGGTGCCAGGTCAACATGTGCCAGGAATGTAGGCACACCAACCTGATCTGTACCCAGTGCTATGTGCTTGCGGCCAGACCCAGCACCAGCATTCACGGTGCTTTATCCTTAACGCAAATGATGGCCAGCAAAACAAAAACCCTCTGGCAGTGACAGTGCCTCTGCAGCAGTGACTGTTAATTAGATCAAATAGCCGAAAGGGCTGTGTTTTCATAGCTGACCTTGATGGAGGAAAGGACTGAAGTGTTCTGTGTCAGTTCCTCTACGGGAGAAGAACTGGAGAACTGCTCTGGGGTAAATTCCTGCTGGCGTTTCAAAGCAAACACGAAACCCAGGAAATGCTGTCCAGGGTGACAATCATCCAACCTTCATACAAAACAAACTCAGCAATGCTGATGGGGAGCAAGCCCCAGTGGACAAGCAATGCTGCCCTGGAGAGATTCAGGGTCCATGTGGAGCACAAGAACTGGCCCAGAGGGGTGGGGTCTCCAAATGGGTCCTGGAAACCCAATGCCTTTCCCAACAGTGACTCCTTTAGATCAGAAAAATCCTAACCCTCACTACCCTGCAAATGCCCTGTACGTGGGAAGCCCCTGACAAGTATTTACTGAATATTAAACAAAAAGAAGCCCCCAGACAGCCACCACCTTAGTCAATGGCTCATCAAAGTTACCTGGGAGCTTATGAAAAACACAGGGGCTCAGCCTCACCCTGGGGGATGTAAGCTCAGTAGGTCTCAGGGGAGGGATGAGGCAGTGGAGCCCTGGACCGCTGTATTCAAATAAGCGGAAGGTAAGCTCGAGGAGGCATGGATTGGGTTTCTATTTAAATATCCGTAGAATGCACACCAAAGTCAGCTAGGATGAGCTGCTCTTGTCCAATTCACTAACTTGTGCCCCCCAGAAGGGTGGGGGCCTCTTTGTGAACTGGCACAGCCCTGATGGACTGAGGGGAGCTCAGATCTCTGCTTGGATGGGCCTGAAGCTCTCCCCAGTGGCCTTGCCAACACCTCTGCTCAACAAAAGCCAGGAATCCAGCCTTCTTTGATTGTTGTCAAGATTCAAGAAATCTGAGTGAAGGGCCAAGTCATTTTTGTCCCTCCGTAGTCCAAGTGGCTCTTAAGCCACAGTCCTAATACCAGCTTACCCAGGGACGCAAATTGTTTGTGGAGGGCCAGGCGAGACTGAACCCTGGTCTTCAGCAGTTTCATGGTGGTCTCCATGTGGCTGGCGCTCAGTGAGTGGTCAGCAATCACCGTGTGCTGTGGATGACAGCGAGCGGCACAACTGAGTGCTCCCCATCCCTTCCTCCAGGCCCCACCTCTCTCCTCAGACCTGCCTGCCTGTGGCAGCCAGGATCACCCACACCCTGAGGTGGGCACCTTATGGGAATGGCAGGGTTTATCTGCTATGACAGGCCAGATGCTGAGTCCCAGCAGGAACAATACAAGCTGCCGGGTTCTCAAGAGGCTATGGCCAGCTCCTGAGAAAAGAGAGGCTTCTGCTAAGGTGCAAGATCCCCGGGGTTCTGCTTTCACATTTTTGGCATCTTCATACACAAGACTGAAGGGTAGCAGAGCCTGCACTCGTGCTACACCCAGGGCAAGGACCCAAGATACTCTGATCTAGAGGGCCACTAGGCTTAGGGAGAAGGCTAAAGGTACTTAAAGACATGGGCCTCAGACATTTTCGTGTCCTGAGTTGAGAGAGGACACGTCATAGCCCTTCAGGGTTTAAGGCCACCAGAAGCCTTCCTGGAGTATGTATGGAAGGAGAGGAAGTAGAGCCCCTCGGCCAAGGAGACAGGATCAGTGAACACACCTGGGGCTGTTCTTTGGGGAAGTGGAGGCCACCGAGCTTCTGTACCCACAAATAGGGGTGACCTAGGTCAAGTACGTAGTCTCTCAAAGTCAGGATGCTGCAGAAAAGAACAGAGAAAAAAATGATTTTTAAGTCCTTTCTGTAGTGGTCCCAGGATAGTCTTCCTCCCATCCCCCCAAAATAGGCTGGTCCCGCAGGCTCACAGCCAGGCTGCCAGCGAAGCCTCTTAACTCCATCAGTTCCCTACCATGAATTTTCTCTCTCCCATGTTCTCTATTCTCCTTTTCCCCTGACGGCCTTCAGTTCATAAGCAAATCTCAATAAAAAAGCAGTATACTTGATCTCTTCACTGGTCTACCAATTTATAAAATATCAAAAAAAACTTTAATCCTCAGAGAATTAAAATAGTAAACATTTGTATTGCATCATGAGTTCTTATCACATCCACGAGTTTGGATCCTTCCATCCTTTCCCCTCCTTCCATGACCTCCATTTGCCTCCTAAGCAGGGAAGGGTGTGTGTTCCCTTCTCTTGGTGCAGCATTCCCTCTTGCCCCGTGGTCCTCCCACCCTACCCCCTAAGAGGCCTCCAGCCCTAACACGTCTCCAACACTGGGCTTGAGCCACCATGGAGACTCTGAAGCAGACAGGCTGGGAGAGGAAGAAACATGCTGACTCACCCAACTTTGTCAAACTGATACTGATTGGCTGGATTTGGAGTCTTCTTTCCATGATCCCCAGGATACAAACAGCTCAGGACTGAGTCAGGAGACAACAAGTCACTGGAAAAGGGAGAAGACTGCAGTGAGAAGGCCGGCCAACACCCTGCCTCGAGGCAGACTTAGGCATTTGGGGATGGTAATGCCAATTCTCACTGATGATCGACGCCACCATTTACTGAAAGCTTCCTGTGGGCCAGAATCTTTCTATGCTTGGAGTCATAAGATTCTTACAATTCTATAAGGTAGGAAGTATTATCATGTCCATTTTACAGAGGAGAAACTCAATACTTTGAAAGATACGGCTTGTCCAAGATTACACTGCCAGTAAGTGCTGGAGCCATGATTTGCACTGTCTGATCAAAGACTAGTACTCTTAACCACCAAATTCTTTAAAAAACCTAACCTTTCAAGAGTTATTTGGTGACCAAGGCCTCACCTCAGGGGAGCAACGCCCTGTGACATTGGAAATAAAAATAATCATAATTTTCATAGGAGCAGAACAGACTCCCTTCTACCCCAGAGAGAACAAGTGTGCAGCTTTGGTGCTGTGTCTATCTTGCTTTGACCAAATCTCATGTTACTCACAGAAAAAGGTCCCCTTTATAGTCCCAGAAAAAGACATTATCACATGCACTGGAGACAAGGTGACCCAGGGCTATAAGCAGACGCCACTGCCATCCATCTGGAATGGTTAGGGCACAGCCTGTAATTAAACGTGACAAGCAGAGAAGAGACGGGGGCAGGGAGGAGGATAATGGAGTGATCTGATCACAAAGGCTAAGGCCCATTCTTTCCCCCAAGCAGCAGGGAGTTCTGCTTCATCTTTCCAGGGACAGCAGCAGGAGCTACTCAGGCAGAATGGGCTGATCCCCGGGGCTCTGAGCCCTGGAATGCTTTGGGGAACTTAGCACTGGGGCAGTGGCAGCTTCTGGCTCTTCTCTGTTCTCTGTCTCTCCCAGAGTCTCTCTGCCCCCCAGGGTCCCCCTTCACCTCCTCATATGGAGAACTGGCTAGAAAATAAATAAGAATTGTCAGTCTTTTGGCCAATTATTTGGTGACCGTTACTAATAGAATGAATGAACCAAAGTAAAAGAGAACAGCTAAAACTGTACATGATAAGGGCTTCTAACTGACAAAATGTGATGGAAGAATCGAATCTTGACAAAAGTTACATTTGTAATATTTGGCTCAGGACAACTGAATTTGGTAAAAATAACAGACATAAATGGGGAGGTTATATATGGTTATAAAAACACAACACCAAAACAAAAAACTATTCAATTAGTCAAGTCTTTGTTATCAAATTTTAATGGAAAAGAAGGGATTAAAAAAAACCTTGGTAAAATAAAAATGGAAAATGATTAAAAATAATTTAGTGGCTTCATGAAAAACTGATTTTTTTTTTTTTGGAGGAAGATTAGCCCTGAGCTAACATCTGCCACCAATCCCCCTCTTTTTGCTGAGGAAGACTGGCCCTGAGCTCACATCCGTGCCCATCTTCTTCTACTTTATATGTGGGACGCCTGCCACAGCATGGCTTGCCAAGCAGTGCCATGTCCACACCCGGGATCCGAATCAGCGAACCCCAGGCCGCCGAGGTGGAACGTGCGCACCTAACCGCTGCGCCATCAGGCCGGCCCCGAAAAACTGATTAACGAATTAAAATGCCCTAATGGAAATTATCCTGGAAAATGACTCCTTGAGGAAAATTCAGCAAGGTTGGTATAATTCTGATTAAAAAGTCTGTATTAAAAACGTGAATTCCCTCATGAATTAATAGATCCTGGCAACAGTCGTCAATGTTAATATCCCCAAAATAGAGACAGGTTGTGCCTCCTGATGGAAGCACTCAACAACATCTATGACACAGTCCTGCCTCCCATCCCCCTAAAAAAATAAACAGAATCTGATCAAGCCTCTAAACGTACCTACAGTTTACATGGAATACAGGGGAAGGGAGTAACCCAATAAATTGTACCGCAGGGATGCAATCATCAAAATCCAGACAAGGAGAAACCTACAGAGCAAACAACCCACTTTCCTCAACAAGTAGAGATGGCAGGAACATTCAGAGCAAAAGATGCTTGAGAGAAGCTTCACGCAACTGCGACACATGGACCTTACAGACCAGATTCAAAACCCAAACTGTAAAAACCACCAATAAAAACACTTATGAGAAAATCAGGTAAATTTGAACTCTGACTGGATATTGGACGGTATTAAGGAATTAGTGTGATACTGTGATTATATTGAAAAAAAAAGTATCCTTATGTCTTAGTAGATAAATAAATAAACCATACAACAGGCTGGTATCTCCAGGGGCCAAAGCAGCCTGTACCTGAGCAAAGGCCTCTGGGCTCAAGTCTAGAGCTCTAGGCCCAGGGCTTCCATAACTGGTCATAGATTCCCCTGAACCTCAGTTTCTCCACCTGTAACATTGGAGGATGAGCCAGACAACACCCAAGGCCCATAAAGACATAATCCTGGTTTCAGGAGGGTGTTTCCTTTTGTGCTTCCTCTCTCTTTAGGGGCCAGGGCCCACCTGGCAATGAGAGTAGTACAGCAGAGTGGGACACAGGCCTCAGTTTCCTCACTTTGTAGAGCTCCTGTGAGAGTTAAACCAGTTGATGATGATAAACAGCTGTCATTTACCAGTGCTTCACCTATGCTAAGCACTTAACTCTTCGTAAGCACCCTGGAAGGGAATATTACAATCAATGACCACAGAATGAGGAAACAGACTCAGAGGCCAGGAAACTTGGCTGAAGATGCACTTAGCTGTGAGTGGCAGATGTGGGACTCACTGGAGCTCTGTGATTGTAACCAGTGTGCAGTATTGCCCCCATCGTTGCGAGGGCAGCGCTTAATGAGGAGCTGAAGTTAAGCATGCACTGAGACCAGCATGCAGCCCTGTTATTAACAGATAGGGCAGGGCAGGGCCAGCCCCGTGGCCTGAGTGGTTAAGTTCGCACACTCCGCTTCGGCGGCCCAGGGTTTCGCCAGTTCAGATCCTGGACACAGACATGGCACCGTGGCACATTAAGCCATGCTGACACAGCGCCCCGCATGCCACAACTAGAAGGACCCACAACTAAAATATACAACTATGTACTGGGGGGATTTTGGGAGAAAAAGCAGGAAAAAATAAAGATTGGCGACAGTTGTTAGCTCAGGTGCCAATCTTTAAAAAACAAAAAACAGACAGGGCATCCGAGAGGTGAGCAAGCAGAGTGCTCATGACGAGGCATTCCACAAAGGCCAAGGCTCTCACGGGGCCCTGGAGCTGTTCTCTGGACTGAGAGCTCCGGGTGTGCAGTCTAACAAGACCTTCTGAAGAAGCAAGCCCTGGGCTCCCTCTGCTGGGGTCAGGTGGGAACAGAGCCAATTTCATCAGAGCGGCCTTGTGTGGTCAAACAACACTCTCAAGCTCAGGGACCAAGGCTGTGGCCGGAATGGGGCATGGACTGTAAGTGAAGGGTAGAAAGACCAGGGACACTGTACCATCAGGCAGCCAGGGGAAGAGTTCCACTCCACCGGGCACCAGACCCGTGCCTCCTTTGGTGGTCTTTCTACAGCTGACACGAGGACTCTACTGGGACCAGGTAGGGGCAGTAGCAGGAGAGTCAAGCCAGGGCAGTGCTCTCATAAGTGAGGTTATTTCACCCTCCGGCCCCCTCAGTCTTCCTCCTGTCTTCCCACTCCTGGCTGTGGAACAAGACTGCCATGGTTGGGAGCTTCCTGGGGATGCCTGACCTGTGCAATCATTACTGTGCCTCAGCTCACCCTCCTCAAAACCCCCACAGGCACCCACCACAATCCTCCTCCCCCTGCCCAGGTAAGGACAACCTGGGATTGAGCTGAGCTGTGAAACAGAAATCCCAGCACCTTGGGAGAGACAGAGAAAAGGAAGAGCATGGTCTAAATTTGTCAACCTGATAATGTCTGCCAAATCTCATTTTCACATGCCCACTCTTTCCACTCGTCGTTAAGAAGCTAGGGCTCTGACCTGCCTACTCAATTGGCTATACGCTGTAGTCACTTTTATCATCTGCTGCATAGTAAGATAACTTCACCAATTAAAGTCAGTGAGAGCTTTCTAAATACCAGTGATGTGTCAGGACTTCTAGGCCATGTGGACATGACAACAGAAGTCAAGGCAGCCGTGAACCCCCTCAGAGCCAGGCGAGGGAGCAACCGAGAGCAACCCAGCACTGAGGCTCTCATCACACCTTCTCCCACGCCCCACTCTCCACAGCGCCTGCCCGATACCCTGCACTGATGGGGGTGATCAGCTCCGTGGCAGTCGTCACTTTGGCTTTGACCGTCATGATGTTGAGGTTCATGAGGTAGTAGAAAGTCAGGTGAAGCACACTGTCATCTGGAGGAAAAGAAGAGATCATTTAAAAGTTAAACATGAGAGCTGAGTCAAGAGCTTTATAAAAATGAAAGCCAACGAGGCTTTTAAGATATTTTACTGTAAAAACAAAAACTCGATGGCAATTTACTGCTGAGTAAAAAAAGCAGAGTGTCTACGAATTCTTTGCTATTCCTCCCTCAAGAGGTGGAGCTTCATTTCCCTCCCCTTGAGTGCGGGCTGGACTTTGAGACTCCACTTCTAACAAAGCTAATATGGAGAGGGAGCCATCACCAAGTAGATCCAGGTTAACATCACCAGCAATAAGACACAATGATACCATATACTCCTGCTGTGTTGTGATGATGAACACCACGTCTATGGTATTCTGCCCCAAAATGCATAATCTCAGTGTAATCAGGAGAAAACACTGGACAAGCCCAAGTGGAGAGACTTTTTACATAATAAATAAACCTTGCCATCAAAAGCATCAATGTCAGGAAAGACAAGCAAAGACTGAGGACCTGTCACTGCCCAGAGGAGACTAAGGGACATGACAACTAAAGGCACTGTGAGATCCTGGAACCGAAAAAGGACATTAGTGGAAAAACCAGGGAAATCAGAATAAATTCTGTAGTTAATAGTATTGTACCAATAAAACTAACATAGGTTTTGAACACCGTGTGGTGGGTAAGTAAGATGTTGACATTGGGGGAATTTGGGTGAAAAGCATATGAGAACTCTTTGTATTATCATAGCAACTCTTCTGAGTCTAAAACTATCTCAAAATAAAATGTTTTTTAAAAAAAGGCAAAGAGAGGACCAGTGTGTAGACTATGTTTCCATTTGTGTAAAAAATAAAAGGGGGAGAAGATAGACACTTGCACAAAAGCTTCTAAATGCATAGAATACTTCCAGAAAATACATTAGAAACCTGTCACAATGGTTGTCCTTGGAGGCAAAACCAAGGACCAGAGTCTGGGAGTCCGGGTGGGAGGGAAACTTACATTTAACTGTTAACTCTTATACTGCTGGTGGAATGCTTTATCATGTGCTCCTTTATCCACACAAAACCAGTTTCAATCATACGTTCTCTGCAGAATACAAGGTTCTACTTACACTTATTAAATTAAGCACGTTAGTCATATTACTCAAAATCTGCATACTCTTGCAACTTGTTCTGTATCTGACTTGTCAAATTCAGAAATTGGTGTCGTTTTTATCAAGCATCCCTTATTGTGTCTAGTTTTATTGCTACGGTTACAACTTTCATGCCAAACAATGAAGAAAAACAGAGAAATATGAAACCAGAATCTTTTCTTGGGCAAACAGGCCTCTGGCTTGCTGGACCCTGGGCACCTGCAGGTAACCGAACTCTTAGGTGCTATGGGATCCCCCAGAACAAGGGAAGACGGACCTTTGCACTTCAGGTCCAGCATAACGGACAGTGGGTGCCTCTTCAGCATCTCTTTGCGCTTGTCATCCAACTGAACTCCAAGCGTGGGTCGCCGGCGTTTCTGGGCAAAAGAAAGAAGGAAAGAACAGAGCAGATGCGGACTTGTGACAAACCTCCCCTTGCTCTCTCCCTACCAGCCAGGCCTCAGCACTGCTGCCTGGGACCTGCTGCTTCAGCTACCCAGCTGCCTGGCTCCCAGCAGACATTCTTTCAAACCTCTTTCTTCAGCTTCTAAGGAAGATGGCACCTGCCAACTAGCAGGCCCCAGTGCAGCTGCTTGGCACGCCCATGAAAGGAAACGGCTCTCACCGTGGTCTGCTCCTCCTCAGCATCTGAGTCGCTCTCGTCATCTGCAGCCAGAGAGAGAAAAGCTAGGGGTGAGGGGGCCCTGATGCTCCCTAAAGCACCTCATGGGCCATAAAGGGGCCCAGACCCTGTGTCATTTCCAAATTGGTTTTTTTAGAATAAATAACTTGTTGCTTCTTATTCAGTCTAGAAAACATGGTGATCCAAGGAAAAAAGAAAAGAAGAATTACCTACAATCCCACCACCTCTGTTTATTAAAGTACTTTTTAATGTCATCCTATGGACCACAAGCCCCTCCATTGGTAGTGGCGGTGGTAGCAATAACAGTAATATAAATAACAAATACAAAAATAGCAGCTCATATAATGTGAGAGGCTGCTATGTGCTGAGGATGATGCTAAGGGCTTCGCATGGATGACCTCATTTAATCGACATAACAATTCTACGTGAAGTATTACTGTCCTGTTTTGAGGTGAGTAAACTGAGGCTCAGAAATGTTAAAGAGCTTCCCTGGGATCAGTGACCCATTGAGTAGCAGGGCTGAAACCCACAGTCAGTGCTTTCCCCTGTTTACCCCTGAGCATCAAGACATTAAAGTCGAGCTACCTGCTACTCAGAACTAGTACTGCTAATTTCCAAAGGACCAGCCCTGCCCTTAGGCGGTGACGTGGTGTCCCTGGAACCAGCTGTGGAAGACATGGGGGAGGATCCCAACCACATCACCTTGAGAGTCCTCGGGAGGCTTAAACAGAGCCTTGGCTTCATCCACACTGCCTTCGATCGCCACGGACAACGTCTTATCTGGGAGCGAGAAAAAGCTTCACATGACAGCTGCTGAGGCAAGGAGCTGAGGTACACAAGCAGGTCAGCTCTGGGAATGCGTTCCTTCTGCCTTTGTCACAGCTCCTTACTGACTAGGGGTGGGAGGGCAAAAGCCCTTTCTCCAGACGCAGAGGAACAAGGTAGGAAACTTGTCTTTTTTCCATCATTTACTGAGAACAAAGAACCCAAAGTTCAGGTTCTTGTATAAGCATCACCTGAGACCACGGTGAATCTCTCTCTTCTCAGGCTTACGCCAAGGTACAGAAATCTCAATCTAGGGCCTGAAGTCATATGGTACCCTTCTGCCAATTGTCTTAAAGGTTCTCATCCAGAAGCCCCTAACTGTCCACATCCCAGAAACAATGGCTCTCAGCTGACTAAGTGCTTATTCTCTATTCTGCACTACACCAAGCACCTGGTTGGCACCATTACATTAAATCGGGAGGCAGTAGGACAATGGGTAGGAACTTGAACCGGCAGTCCAGTCCTAGGCCCGAGTCCCTGCCCCACCAATTCCCAAACACATGGCCTGGGAAGTTACGTCACTGCTCTGAGCCCTAGTTTCTGCATCTATGAAATCAGGACTTGAGAAACGGTAGTTGCCCAGTTGGGTGGTGAGGACTGAATGAGCTGATGCTTTTAATTTTAATTATAAAATTATTTTCTTTAAATAAATTTTTAATCTTCACAACAACACTGTAGGAGCAATACTTTTATTATAGCCATTTACAGATGAGAAAATGAAGGCTCAGAGAAGTTAGATATAATAGCCAGGAAGTAGATAAGCTAGGATTCAAGACCAGGTCTTTTCAACTTGACCTTAGTGTCTCGAGCTCGAAGCCAAGCGTCCTATTCCAGGCACCAGGCCTGATCCCTCCTTGAGTGACGTCTGGACCTGCCTTTCTGGCACTGCATGGGTCTAGTGCTGGGAGGTCAGACAGGCCACAACTCCTGCTCCATTCAAAAGGGCATACAGATTACAGATAGTTGCAGGAGTCTGAAACAATTTGCTCAACTGCACTAAGGAGGGATGGCAAACTTCCCCAAAGTGGTAGGCCACTGAGATAATATTTCCAGGTGGCTGACTACTACTCTTTCTGACAACCCTGCATGAACTATCACACCTCACTCCAAACAAGCTGGTTGCCCCCATCAACGACTGGCAAATGCCATACTATTCTTTTGAGTAGTTTAATCCTACAGTGAATTCTACAGTAAAATGGGAATGGAAACACAAAAGAAAATTACTCACCCTGTCTAGGGGGCTGGGAGGATTTCATATGAGCTGATGATGGAAACAGGAGGGAGAACAAAGGGTAGGGAGAGATCCAGAAGGACCAGGAAGACACAAGAAGAGAGACAGTAATGTGTTGGTGCCCATGGCTAGGAGAAGCATGCACTATTGCAATATATGACCGATGCAGGGCTGGCGGGGGGCGGGGCAGAGCAGGGGGAGGGGAGGGGAGAATAATTTAGGTGCTGGGTGAAAGCTGCAGTAGGGCAAGAGGTGGTCTCCAAAAACTTCCCAAAACCCTAGTGGAGTAAAGGGCTGCCCTTAAGCTTAATGAGGACACATCCTTTCACTTGGTAATTCACTGTAATGACATACAGCCTGTTTAGGGCATGGTGAGAGACTGGGAGAGCTGGCTAGGATCTGTGTTCACCAAGCCCACTCTGTAAAGCAGAACAAGAGGCACCAATCCACCTGCCAAGCACGCCTTGATGGGGTGAGTGCCTGGGAGCCCAGACAGGCTGCCTAGGCACTGTACCCAAGAGCCAACCAGCCAGACTCATCAGAGATTCAAAGCCATCCATTCTGAAATGCCCATCACGTTAGTCCAGCCTCAGGCCAGCTGGTCAGAGCAGCCATGCTGGGCGGTGCAGAGGGGAGGCAGCGTCTGTCACCTGAGGGCTTCTGAGCAGGGCCAGGGAGTTTTCCTCAGCAGGCAGTGCTTCCAAATGACTCAGTCGGCCACGGCTGCTGCTCCCACAGCCCCTCCTCCTCCCCCAGCTCCCGCACTCACCACAAGCCTGACCATATGCAGTAGCCTGGACAAAGAGGACATAGAGGGGAGGCGGCAGGTGTCTGGCTGTCTCATATTGCTTGTGAGCCTGGTCGAATGGCATAAACAGGTACTCCTGCACTGGGAGGGAAGCCTGCATGCAACGAAAGAAGGATTTTTGTTTTCTCGTTTCAGGCAGTCCACATATGAATATGTGGCTAAAAACCATTTAGTTTTTTATTTATGAAAGTGATATGTGATAAGCTAACAGAACTATGAGACGGATAAAAGGTCAATACAAAAAATTCAGGGCCGGCCCGGTGGCACAGCAGTTAAGCGCGCATGTTCCGCTTTGGTGTCCCAGGTTCGCCGGTTCGGATCCCGGGTGCGGACATGGCACCGCTTGGCAAGCCATGCTGGGGCAGGCGTCCCACATATAAAGTAGAGGGAGATGGGCACGGATGTTAGCTCAGGGCCAGTCTTCCTCAGCAAAAAGAGGAGGATTGGCAGCAGACGTTAGCTCAGGGCTAATCTTCCTCAAAAAAAAATCAATTGTCAGGCTGGCCTGGTGGCACAGTGGTTAAGTTCTTATGCTCCACTTTGGCGGCCTGGAGTTCGCCAGTTCGGATCCCGGGCGTGGACCTATGCACCGCTTATCAAGCCATGCTGTGGCAGGCATCCCACATATAAAGTAGAAGAAGATGGGCACAGATGTTAGCTCAGGGTCAATCTTCCTCAAAAAAAAAAAAAAAATCCCCATGGAGAATATCTCCACGACCCTGGGACAGAGATTTCTTAAACAGGACACAAAAGCACTAACCATAATGGAAAATACTGATAATTAGTTAACATTAAAATTAAGAACAGCTGCTCATTAAAAGATATCATTACAAGAGTGAAAAGGAAAGTCACAGAGTAGGTACAGTATCCGCAGAAGATTCCTCTCTAGAAAATATGAAGAATTACAAGCAATCCAACAGAAAAATGGGCAAAAGACTTGAACAGGCTCTTCACAAAAGGGGTAATCCAAAATCCAATAAGCATATAAAAGGTGCTGTGCTCAACAACACTGGTCCCCTGGGAAAGGGAAATTAAAACCATAAGCAATGCCCTTCAGAATGGCTAAAATTAAAAAGACTGACAATATCAAGTATTGACAAGGATGTGGAGCAATTAGAACTCTCATAGGCTGCTGGGGAGAGTTCCCATAAATCAGTACGATCACTTTAGAAAACTGTTTCAGTGTCTACCAAAGCTACATAAATGCACAGCATACTCTGTAACCCAGAAGTTTCACTCCTGGGTATATATTCAACAAGGTATGTAGACATGTGCACCAAAGGACACATATAAGAATATTTGTAGCAGCATTATTCATATTAGCTCCAAACTGGAAACACCCACAATCAAATATTAAACATCAATGAAAATAAATGAACTCCTGGTACTCACAACAGCATAGATGAATCTCATAAACATACTGTTGAGCAAAAGAAGCCAGATACAAGAGTCTGTACTACATGATTCCGTTTGTATAAGTTCAAAAACAGGCCAAACTAACCTATGATGTTAGAAGTCAAGATAATGGTTACTGAGGGGTGGGAGGAGATAAGTGACCAGAAAGGGGAATAAAGTAGTTTCTGGAAAAGTGATAATGTTCTTCTTAATTTGGGTGCTGGTTACACAGATGTGTTCACTTAGTGAATATTCACTGAGCAGTACACTTATGAGCCATATGCTTTTCTATATGTAAAATTATTCTTTAAAAAGCAATATATGTACATTGCTTTAAAAAGTTGTATTCAAGTTTCTAAAGCAAAAACTTCCAGTTCCCAACGCCCAACAGCAACCGTTAAGGTTTGGTTTGAATACAGACTTTGCTAAGCATACACTGGACTCACACATGTATATATCCTTACAGATACTTTGTAAATGAAGGTATGCAAATGAGGCCATACTTTATGTTCTACAACTAGCACTGTTTTGACAATATGATAGATCTTCTTTCTGTCCAGTTATTCTACCAGTGGTATGATGTTCCTTATTTCCATCACAACTGTAAGCCTGTAAATACAAGAATTTATTCAACCCATACCCTATTTAGAAACATTTAGAGAGTTTCCAGTTAACAGGAAAAATTAAGTACAACACAAACTTGGAGTTTCTGTTTTCTTTTTGTCCTATTACAAAGTGCTGAGAATATTTGTTAACAATTCTAATTATACACCTAAAGTTGAAGGAAGAAAATGTAGATCTTGCCAAATCCTAGAAAAGGGAATTTATAATTTCTCTAGGGTCCTTTCGCAAAGTTCTTCCATATTAATCATTTACCTTGCTGCACAAAACCACAAGGATTTAGACCAAACGTGATTTCACAAAGCAAACAAAAATAGGTCACCTATATAGAAAGACATTTTACAGATAAAGTGGGGGCTTTTCCTCCTAAGGTACACAACAGTTTTCAAATACAAGTAAATTTCTTTTCAGAGTGAGTAGATCTGCTGAGCATCTGCCCCTGAGGTACAGTCGAGGGATCTAACAGATATCCACAGAAGCGTGCTTAGATGCCTGGAGACTGTGGCGCTGTTCGAGACCATGCAGTGTGTAAACTAAACTTAGAGTTTACAAGAGTGTTTTACCTGGAAGAGGCTCTGGGTGAAAAGAAAATGTCCCAGGTAAATGTGTGTATTTGTTCCTGAGCCCATGTGGCCAGCATTTCTTCAACCTAGGACACAACCTTATCGTACCAGGGGGTAGGACTACAGACAGGGCCGTCCTTGCACCGAGCTCTAACATTGATTTGGGTAAGAGACCCTACAAAACCCAAAGGGTGAGGCTGCTGGCAGCCTCAGGTCAGCAAGGCCTCACTGGGTGGTGAAGGCAAAGCAAAAGACCGAGGAAGGAAGGTGATGTAGGGGGAAGACCTCACCTGCATGATGCTGTTGAGACGAGGCTGGAGGCTGCTCAGGTACTCCTTCTTCACCTCGATCTCCTTGAGGATCTTCTCCTTGTTGGACAGGCACTCTCGGTACTTCTCCGCCAGCCTGTTGGGGTGAGGAAGGACAGAGCACTGTCACAGAAATGCTCCCCACGGACACCCCGACACACCTGTTCACTGTCAGACTCTATCTAATGACAGCAGTCATGATTAACTGCTAATGTTTATCTAGCACTTACTATTTGCCAGGCACTGTGGAGAACTCTTTACAAACATTACCACATTTAATCCTTATAAAAACCCTGGAAGATATGGACTTTTCCTATTCCTAGAAGGTTCAGGGAGGTAGATAACTTGCCCAAGGTCATCTAAGAGCAAGCACAGAGCTGGGCTCTAAATCCAAGCCTGTCTGGCTCCAGAAGCTCTGCCTGTGACCACCAGGGAATGCCCTGGGGTCATGTGCTGCTCCATTTCTTGCCTCAGAGGCTAGACCCAGAAATTTTACAAACATTAAAGCTACAGGACCCAAAGGAGCCCACAGACTGGCCTGAGTGGGGCAGGGTGGGGATGGATTCCAGACCAGTGCCACAGGAATGCAACACTCACGGCTTAGCCTGTGCCCAGGGCAAGCAGTGTACTCAACAAGGCAGTGAACAGCCAGTGCCATCTGCTAAAAAATTGACACCAATTCCCTAAGAACCAGAATCAGTGCTTATTAGATTCATAGAGAGACCAAAGGCACAGAACACAGTGTAACAGAAAAAGGCAAGGGATTAAAAACAGCAGCTTCTCCGAGGGAAAACAGAGCAGATGTGTCAACCATAAGCCCTAGAATTCATGGACAAATAGGAAAGGGAAAAAAGTCACCATAATGGAAGGGATACAACCATGAAAAGTCCAGTAAGAAAAAAAAATACACTGTACTCTTAGAAAGACCTAGATTAAACTACACAGTATAAACATTCTATTTACAACTAATAAATAAAAGCTCTTTACTAGTAGAGAAATGTTTTATATGTAAAGGTATGCCTTGAAGCATTATTTATGATAGCAAAAAATTGGAACCACCTAGAAGTCCAATCCTACAGGGAGACAATTATGTGAATTACAATTTGTCTATACAGTGGAATGCTGTACAACCTTCTACAATAATGTTTGCAAAGTTTTATAATACCACAAGGATATGCTTATAGGCAGAGGAAAAGGTTAAAAAGAAAGATTTATGGTACAAAAGGTATTTAGGTCTCAGGCTAAAATTCTCAAAGAAAGGTTACTCTAACTTTCTGCTAAGAGCCTTAAGCAATTCCTGTCCCACCCATGATGCGGTTGACCAAGTTTGAACCATAAAGTGTGAATTAACACAAAGTGGGACTTGGTCTTAGAGACTATTCTGCCAGTTCCACAGTGCTTTGCTATCTGATCCTGGGTCATGACAAAGCACCGTCCCTCATGGTTAAAGGTCCATGTCTGCACAGGTTAACAAGATCAGGAAGGAGGAAATGCCACCTTTTCCGCTGCTCCAGTTCCCAGTCCAGACGTGCGAGGGTTTGCTGGTGAGGGTCTCCCATGGTGACTTCAGCCTTGCTGATATCTGGAGGAGCCTCCTTATAAAACTCCTCTAAACTGACCAGATCAATTTCTTCGTGCTTTGACCTGCAGGCAAAAATTGGATGTCAAGGTGCCACTCGCTGGAACCTAAACTGTGCCTTAAGCAGGCCCACAGTTCCCCCCAGTGGATGCCCACTTAGCCCTGGTCTGCAACTACTCAGGAACTTGGAACCCAGTCTTCTCAGCAAATGCTCATGAGCAGACGTTTCAGTCTGAAGAGAGGTAGTTGGTGACATGCCACAAGATCCTTATCCATGCTGTCCAACCTTTCTACCCATGAATTAGCTAAAGACCTGGAAGGGATGCTTATCAAATTTACAGATGACTCCAAGCTGAGCAAGAGAGCTAAGAGCTTAAAGAATCAAATAAAAACACTAACGTTTAGGCCTAGACTGTCAAGATGAAGCCAAGAAATGCCATTTAACAGGAATAAACTTGAGAATGCACTTAAATTCAAAACATTAACTGCATAAGCATAGGACAGGGAAGATTCAGCATGGCATGAACAGATGTGAAAGAGATCTACCGACTTTGTTACATGTATAGTGACACACATGTATAAAAGAAATCCAATATTCTTTGTTGCATTAACATAGTGCTCAAGCTGTGGAGAGATGATGGTAATAACAGCAGTTATATTATTTACAAAAGCCAAGACGTGGAAACAACCTAAGTGCCCATCAATGGATGAATGGATAAAGAAGATGCAGTGTGCGCACACGCACACACAGAGGAATACTACTCAGCCATAAAAAAAGACAAAATCATGCCATTTGCAATAACATGGATGGGCCTAGAGGGTATTATACTAAGTGAAATAAGTCCGATGGAGAAAGTCAAATATTGCATGACGTCACTCATATGTGGAAGATAAATAAACAAACACATAGATACAGAGAACACACCAGTGGTTACCAGAGGGGAAAGGGTGTTGGGGAGGGTGAAAGTGTCAAAGGGGAACATTTGTACTGTGATGGATGGAAACTAGACTTCTGGTGGTGAATGTGATGTAGTGTATACAGAAATCAAAATATAATGATGTATATCTGAAATCTATATAATGTTATAAACCAATGTGACCTAAATTAAAAAAAATAAATAACAACAGCTGCCAAGTATTAAGAACCAACTGTATGCCATCCTGACCTCCCTTAATTTTCACAGCAACTCTGTAAGATGGGGATTTTTGTCTCCATTTTTCAAGTGAGATGTGGCTTCCATAGGTAAGCAGCTTGCTCAAAGTCACACAGCTCTGAGCGGCAGAGCTGGGATTTGAACCCAGGCTGTCTAATTTCAGGGCCCATGCTGCTTCCACGTGGCCACTTGCCTCCCCACAGGGCCAAGTTCTGTTGTATTCTGGGTTCATCCGCTTTCATCTGAGTAAGAGTTAGAGGTAGGGCATCACATTCTTTTGTTTTTATACCTTCTTTGTATGTAAATAGTTTAAGACTCACAAGAAGTTTCAAAAATAGTACTGAGAGATTATTTCCTCTGTGTACCCTTCCTCCATGTTCCCGCAATGATAATATCTTATCTAAGCACAGTATATTGTCAAAACTAGGAAAGTGACAATAGTACCATACCGTTAACTCAGGTTCAGACTTGATGTGGATTTCACCTCTATTAGTATTTAAGTATTACTATGCGATGTATTTGTGAAACAGATAGACACCTCTTAAAAATCAGCACCCAGGGACCGGCCCGGTGGCACAGCAGTTAAGTGTGCATGTTCTGCTTTAGCAGCCTGGGGTTCGCCAGTTTGGATCCCAGGTGCGGACATGGCACCACTTGGCAAGCCATGCTATGGTAGGCATCCCAGATATAAAGTAGAGGAAGATGGGCATGAATGTTAGCTCAGGGCCAGTCTTCCTCAGCAAAAAATAAGAGGAGGATTGGCAGCAGATGTTAGCTCGGGACTGATCTTCCTCAAAAAAAAAAAAAAATCAGTGCCCATCATTATTAAAAATACACTGGACCCAATGTCTAACGTGGCCCCCCTAATCCCAAGTTTATAACACATAAAACCTGCCTCCCTTCAGTTTGCACAAATAGGTCTGATCAAGCAAATACACGTTCCTTCTCTTCCTCTGTCGACTCCCTCTTTCTCATCACCCAGCTTGGTTTTGCCAAGAGGCATCACAGCTTAAAGACACTGACAAAGTGTCGTTGTTCACCTGAAGGCAGCTAAGCAGCAAGAAGTTTAGGTTCCAAAGAATAAAATCTACTTGCAAAAATGAATTGCTAGAACTTTAGAGAGGAAAGCTGGGCCAAAAGGTTAAAAGGATGTAACTGGGAAGTGAGTTTCTCCCATACAAGGTGCCCTGCACTCAACTGGTAATGCCAAGGCCCCTGCTGGGGAGAGAGAACTGCTTTTCACCAGGTTCAGAGCTCAGAATTCAAAAGGGTCAGACGGGCTCCTGAGGTTCTTTGTGTGGCCTAAAACTACTGCTTCCCATTCGCCCACGCAAAGCAGTCTATTCTCCCTTCTCCCCGATCCTGCAGTCTCCAAACTCATCTGACTTCTTTCTAAAAAGACTGGCTCACACTGAGCTATGCAGGAAAAAGCAATTACCAACAGACCATCTGTGCCAAAGCCCTGTCTTCCAAAACTTACTTAAACTCCAGACATTTGGTGATCTCCTTCTGCAGGTGCATCACCTCATACAACAGGTTCTGGAGCTGCAGGTGATACGCGTCTACTTTCTGCTTGGCCTGAAAGGACAAGGTCAGAGGTGAGTGGGGTAAGTCAGGGTGGAATGGGGCAGGGCAGAGCAGCAGCAAACTCCTAGGAGGGAATGGGCAGGAGGCGGCGTTAAACCTCTCAACTCCTACCTCATGGGTTTGATCTCTTCCTTTCTTCAACCTGATGTGGGCTAATCGGTTAAGCTTCTTCAGAGTCATGAAATGCACACAGCTCTGGATTCTCCGATCTTCTATCTCAACTGCCTGTGGGCAAAGAAAACTGGTTTAGACCCTGACAACAGGTGCTGGCTCAGTTTCCTTCAGCCCCTCACTACTGACCCATCCTCCCCCAGGGCCAAAAACAGACACTGGAGGGAAGCTCAGAACCATGAGCAATGTCAGAAGGAAATGGAAGAAAGACTGCATCAATGAAGTGCTGAACGTTTCTAGGCAAAAAAAGCAACTTCTGCTTGGACCAAAGTAAAAGAATTGAAGACGGAGCAAGTACAGCTAAGGCACAATTAATATCTGTCCCTAAATACCGTACACAGAGATGCTACCAAAAGCAACATCTTGCCACACAATTTGACCTCTAAAAATAACATTACAGAATAATTTAAATGAAAATAACAGAATTATAGCTGTAAAGCTTGGCTATAATAAAATAGATAGGATGTAGAATGTAATACTCTTAACAATATTGGCCAGTCTAACTATAAATAAGTGAGATTCCTGGAAAAATATGGATTGTTTTGTTTTGAACTTATCTATCTAGTTTTCAGTCACACTGTTTAGTTTCTCTGCCCTGAAGCCTGGTTTACTCATTTACTATTAATGATAATTTCACTTTTAGTCTATGATTTACTTGGATAGATCCATCCTTATAATGGCAAAGGAATTTACATGTACCATCTCTTCTCAACACCTCGTAAAATGACTAGCACTTAATAAATATCAGTTGGATGAATTATCAAGTTACAGTTATGGAAAAATTAACTATCCTGTACTTTCATTACTATAATTTGTGATTGAGTGATGATGAGACCTTCTAATAAATTAATAGGCAGGGGGCCGGCCAGGTGGCACAGCAGTTAAGTGCGCACGTGCCACTTCGGCGTCCCAGGGTTTACCAGTTCGGATCCCAGGTGCGGACATGGCACCGCTTGGCAAGCCATGCTATGGTAGGCATCCCACATATAAAGCAGAGGAAGATGGGCATGGATGTTAGCTCAGGGCCAGTCTTCCCCAGCAAAAAGAGGATTGGCAGTAGTTAGCTCAGGGTTAATATTCCTCAAAAAAAAAATAAATACGCAGGTCTCTGGAGCCCCTAGGTCCCAACCACCTGATCATGGCTAGGATAGAAGACTAAGATCAAGAGCTCTGGCAGGTGCAAAATAGGTCCATCCGTGCAGACCCACCAATTTCATGTCCACCCAGCCCCACTCCTTACCACATCCTTGCCTCCCCGGCTCTTCAGGTCCTGGATCTCGGCCATGAGCCTCTGCAGCTCCTGGCATGTGTACTTGTACAGCTCATAGTCTCTGCCTGGGTCCCGCAGGTCCACCTCAGCCTCCTCACTGTAGTATTTACCTTCCTGTGGAGGCAAAGATAGAGGCCTTGGGTGGCGAGTAGAAGTCCCCCTGTTGGGACCAGGACACTGGTTGAGATCAATAACAATGAAGCCCCAAGTCAAGTCTCTAAAGGATCTGGTCCTCACATGCTTTTCTTCTTTTCAGAATGGAAAAGAATTCATCTTTTCCTCTTTCTCCTTATAAAGTAATGCATGCTTAGTATCAGAGAAACATAGTTAGGAGTATCAAAAACAAAATGAAAAATTGCCTGTAATCTCACTTCCCAGCTTGAAATAACTCCATTGTTAATACTGTGGATAAATACAAATTTTATTTTTAAACAAAATGCGATCATATCCTCCATGCTATTTAGTATCATTTCCCATCCCAATAAATATAAGTCTCCATTGAAATGGATGCATGGTAGTCTACTAGAGAGATGAAGTAGAATTCATTTAACCAAATTCATACTGATGGGTGTTTAAATGGTCAAATCAAGTTTCAGCAGAGACTAAAATATCATCTTGGTCTCCCAGCCTTTAGAGGAAACAGAACACATCATTTTTAGCTGTAGTTAATAATATTATATTGCATATTTGAAAGTTACTAAGAAAGTGGATCTTAAAAATACTCATCACGAGAAAAAAAATTTGTAACTACGTATGGTGACAGACGTTAATTGTGATGATCATTTTGCAACATATACAAATATCAAATCATTATGTTGTACACCTGAAACTAATATAATGTTATATGTTAGTTATAATGTTATACCTCAATAAAAAAAAGGTCAGAACCAATGCTCCAAAAAAGATAAGGTTCTTCATTAATCTTGACTTCCTAAAGCTGGGGAAAGCATCACTTTCTATTTAAATTTAAGCTGGTCCGTTTCTATTTTAAAAACAAAAAACATAACCAACCAAATAAAAGTTAAGTCATAAATTAGCTTGACAGATACAAGGAGAGAGAAACAGCAAAAGGAGAAGAACCTGCTGACCATGTGGGCTCTCAGGCTACAGATGTTCTGCGGGCATATGGTTCTGACACTGTCTCTGCAGCAGACCAGGGATGCCACGTCGCCAAAGCTCCAGAGGCGTCTGCAGATGGACTGCCTTCTTCTGACCATCAGGAAAACTGGAGACACGCCATACTAGAGTGCATTCTCTGTTCATGCATTAATCATGTCTATTACAGGCTTGTTGCTTCTTGGGATGCTGAAGCTAAATCTGACGTGGATACTCAAGTTCTGTAGAGCCACGAGAATTCCAGGCTTGACCTGGTCAAGCAGAGGCCACGTGGGAGGTTGTTCCTGGGACCCTCAGGTGCTGCAAACCCACTGCCAGGTGCTTGGCCACAAGCTGCAATTTCTCAGCAGCACGGCAGCCCTGGCTGATCTCACCTGCTCAGTGTCAGAACGATTACGCTTCCCTTCAGCTGGGGCTCCATCACTTCGGATCACTTTGGGCTTCCGTTTTTTGCTTGATTCTGATGACATGGTTGTTTGATGAGGTCAGGAGGAAACAGCAGAGACCTGTTAAGAGAAGAATGCTTTTGATATTTTCCAGAGTTGGAACTGGAGATTTTCCTGGAGTCAGAATACTGAAGTCTAACTAGCAGTTCTGGCCATTTACACCCTTGGTTACTCAAGAAAAGTCACCCAACCCTCCGAAGCCTCGGTTTAATCCTCTGTAAAAAGGGGAATCATCCCTCAGCCTGTCGAAAATGAATTCATCTTCCTCACTTCCACCTCCTTTAAAGGCACCACCCCTATCCCACTGGCCAAACTCCTCAACCCAGCATACAAACCCATTCCCAATACTATAGATGGATCACTCTGTGCTGGACCTTGACCTAAGCAATTTATGAGTATGTTCTCATTTGATCCTTCTAACATATCTTTCAGATAAGAGCAAGTACCATTTTACAGATGAGAACACTGAGGCTGAGAAAGGTGAATGACCTGCCCAAGGTCTCACAGCTCATATGCTAAAGCTTCAGTCCATCAGATGCCATAACAGTGTCCGTGACAACTATATTATTGTGCCTCCTAATCTTGCCATCATCTCATCTGGCGATGCCATCAACTCCCTGGTTGACCCTGAAATTTAAAAGAATGAAACCTACATTTCATGGGGTTCTATGGTCACAAAGCATCCTCCCTCTCCTGGATGTCACCTCAGCCCCCTGTGGTGGGCAGCACTATCCCCTTTACCCCAATGAATCTGTCACCAACACTTCCTGAGGGAGCCAAGAGCTCATTGCAGTAGAGCCAGAGAAGCCCTGAGCTGGGGTCTCCACCGACAATTTTTGGACTATGAGTCCTGGGACCAGTCACTGCACTTTTCTCTGGGTCTGTTCCCTCACAGATCAAATGAGAATAGCAGTCCCTACCTCAGGGGTCGTTGTGGACAGTAACACAGGAGGCACTCCACTGGGGAAGCTGATGAAGATGATCTGGCCTTAGATGGCACACGGGTGATCTTAATGCTGAACACCTAAGGAGAAAGTGGATCCCTTCTCAATTCTTTTTAGAAACTTCTGATTGCTTCAAGGAGGACATTTCATTTTCCTAGTTTGTCTTTAACATTTACGAATCCCAATGTCCCTTTGTTAACAAAAGGACTCTGTCTCGGTGCCTTAGACAATGAAATCTAGCCAGAATCACTGACAATCATCTGTTTTCATATTAAATACATTTAACTTTTATCACTACCTTCTGCATACAACTGAAAGAGGTTTTCCATTTATGGTAGAGACTTAAATTTTTCTTTTAAAGTACATTTAAATTTAAAAAGTGACTGCATTAAAAACCTTTAGTAAACAGTCGTACATGCTAAGTTAATTTGGCAAAATCGTCAAAGGTGGGACCCGAAAGGCGTAAGCGTGGGAAATCCTGACTTTGGCAATGCAATAGAGTGCCTGGCGCACACAGCGCACAGTAAACGTGAGCTATTATCACCGCCACCATCATCATCGCCATCATGGAAAGCCTACAATGTGCGGCCTAATGATGCTGCAGCTAACATTTTCCACATAAGGAAACACCGCGCGGCGCCAAGCAGCCGGGCACCCGGGGAAGCGAGAACCGAGAGCCCGGGTCGGACTCCAGCCCGGGGACGCCCTCCGAGCGTCCGCACCTCAGTCCCGGAGCGCCCAACCCTGCCTCCCGGCCTTGCCCCCCAGCCCTGTCGTCCCCTGCCCCTCCTCACCGCACGGCGCCCAGAACCTGCCCGGGAAAGCGAGCCACTTCCGCCGGCAGGAACGACTGCGGCCCGCGAGCCATAGAGAAGCAGAAGGAAGGAGAGGCCAGCCGGAAGCGAGGCATGGAGGCCGGAAGTGAGGCGCGCCGAGCCGGCAGGGGCTGGGCTGGATGGCAGTGGGCAGGCTGGGGCGCTTGGCTTGTCAGGGCGGGTGCCAGCCGCCAACGCTCTCGCGCTGTCCTCTAAAAGCAGGAAACTGAGGCTAAGGTCAAAGACTGTTAAGTGCTTCGTTCATTCTTTTCCCAGCGCCTAAAGGAATAACTAGTAGGCACCCTGCCAAGTATTTGTTGAATGAATGTTTGTTATGCCCAAAATAACACAACAGCGTAGTAGTGCCAAGACTTGGACTTCTGTGGGTTTGTCTCCATAACCTGGATTCTTAACCACTGTCATATTCACGTTAAGATCCCACACTAGTGAGGGCAGCAAGTCTGGGTGGGCATCAATGCCATCTTAGACTTGTTTTTCCCACAGGAGCATCAATAATTTCCCCCATTTTAGGCCCAATTTGCCCAGGGCAGAGTGGCAGCTCTGCAGCATTTGACAGCCTCAAGTGTTTCCTACCCCTGGTATGAATTGTACAGACAGGGCTCAGGACTTTTGGTGTAGATCCTACTTATCTAGAGGTAGAAATACTGATGTCCTGAATCAGTGGTCATAACAGGGGAGTTCCTTCTGGCCTGGGAGGAGGCTGAAGATGCCTCCGAGAGAGTAGCTCACGGAACCCAATACCCTCCAGAGTTAGATCAGCCAGGCGGAACTGGGAAGCTGGCCCCCTCTGCTCAGTTCTGCCGCAGGCAACTGCCAAAGGTCCCTGCAGATGAAGAAACAACACCGTAGTTTATAGTAAATATTTAATTGGTTCCATCAGCGACTCCAACACAAGTTCTCCTGAAAGGGAGGCAGGATCAATCTACCCAGAGGTTCATGAGGTGTAGGGATAACTGAGGAGGCTCCCAAAGTCACTGACCCCACTCTACACATCCAGTGGCCCAGTAGAATGCGGGTTGGGCTGACAGAATGTGAAGAGGGAGGGAGAAAAGGAATGCAGAGTGAGGGAAATACAAGCCCTGGCCGGTAGCTTGCCTGTGGGAAGAAAGAAGGGAAGGCAGGAGACTCTCCCTGCACAGAAGGGCCAGCACTACACATCCACGTTCTCAACCTCATTACATAGAACAGATGAGCCTCTCTCCTACTGTCCTGTATTAGGAACCCCTCCCCAAGTGGTCTTCTGTCACCTCTGTTCTATTTTCCCAATTCTCTATTCCAAATTCTGCAGTTCAAGCTCAAGTTCTGAATTCTAAGTTCTACCTTCTGGGTTCCTATTCCATTCTGTTTCCTGCCCCCAAATCCTTCCCAGCTCCCATCTTTTTCCTCAGCCTTTCTAGGTAGAATATGTGGACCTCCTGCTGACTTTGCTAACTTGAGAGTTTTCCCCTTTGCTTCTTGAGGCCATTCCAGACTTTTCCCCATCAGGGAGGACTTGGCTCAGACTGTTCAGCAAGTGGGTGCCCCAGTGGAGACCGGGAATTCCTGACGCTTGGCCTGGTCTGACTTCCTCCCTTCCCACCCCACTTCTAACTACTGGACACTCTACCTTTTGTGCACCTAAAGCTAAACTGAGGACTTCCGTGGTGATAATTAGGGACTAGTGGCCTTGAGATGAGGAATCTTAGGGGGAAATGTCCGAAGACATAAAAGGGGCTGTTCTTCATTCAGAGAAATTAAAAACTGCTTCCAGCACCGGGGAAAGGGGTGGGCAGGGAAGGTGGCAATGATCTTGGCAGAGCTGCAAGTCCTCAGACCCCTGTCATCCCGCTTCCCCTTGTATGAGCTGAGCACTACCCCCCAGAGTCCTCTCAGATCCAAGAGAAAACCAAGACAGCAGGACTGGGAGCTGCACTATCCATGGCTGCCCTGAGGGAGGAGGGGAGAGAGGCGGAGGCAACAGCAGCATCACTGGAGAGGCGAGATCTTCAAAGGGATCATGATCCGAGACTCCATGTGTCGCACCAGGGGGACTGCGGAGAGAGAGGCAGAGGTCACGGAGGGGGCTGAGCCGAGCCAACCCCCAAAAGTGGCTTTTGACGGGGTAGGAGGCCTGGGATGCTGAGATAGGAACAGCCCCACTGCCCTCCTGGAAGGGCCCATGGAGTGCGACAGGTCTCCCAAGTTGTGGGATAAGAGGGGACTTCAGTGGTGATGAGAGGAACATTTCTTTGATTTTCATGATTATATTTTTTATTTCCCTGTGTATGTGAAAAAACAACTAGAATAGTAAAAAGTGATTTCACAGATATTATTGCTTTAGGACAAGGCTAGGTGAAGAACAAAGTACAGAGATTTAAAGAAAAATATCAAGGAAACAGTTGTAGCAGTAGTGATGACCTCAAGTGGCTGAGGTTTGAAAAACTGCCTCATTCTACAGACGAGGAGGGTGCCACCCAGAGGGGGTCAGCCCAAGGTCACCCAGGAGGTCAAACTCTTTCCTCCTGCTCAGAGCTGTTCACACTTTACCGCATACATATTACCTTCAGTTCCTGTTAAAGTGCAGATTCTGATTCAGTGGGTGGGGGAAGGGATTGACGTGTGGCATTTCTAACAAGCTTTCAAGGGCTGCTGGTACTGTCATTCAGGACCACACTTTGAAGAGCGAGGCCCCTTCCAGAGATGCATTCTCCCCCACACCAGCTGGTAAGTGTGGAAGCTTCACTGTTAGCTCCTCAAGGGCAGGTACGGGTTCCAGTTCATTCTGTGCCGCCCCTCACCCACCCACCATGGTCGCTGGCACCCAGTGAGGGCTCAATCAACACCTACTGACTCCAGGTGGTTCTCAGGGGTCCCAGCAAAGTGGCAAACAGTGTGAGCAAAAAACTTGCTGGAAAAGATTTGCTGCATGCTTCTTCTGTGCCAGAGTCTGGGTGAAGCACTCATCATAAATTAGCTTCTGGAATCCTTCCTCTAGCCCTCCAAGGGAGGTTCTATCACCATCGCCATCTTACAGATGAGGAAACAGCCTCAGAGAGGTGAAGAACAATGCCTGAGGTCACAGTGCACGGTCAGCTCCTCCAGGAGCAGGGTCTGCCTGGCTGTGTTATCGTGCCCTAGAGCACTCACCTAGGACTGCCTGGATCATTTGTATAGTGTGCCACCAGGATGGAAACCCACTAATTAATTGTCTTAAAAGTGACTTCCCCATCACTGGGGGTAATCAAGTGAGACTAGATCTCCTTGCAGAGGGATTCCATCCTCACCTAGGGCTCCTGCCAGATGACCTCCAAGGGCCTGGCTGACCCTCCCAAAGGAGGTGCTCACCTGTGTAGTAGACATTTTCATCCCAGCCCCTCTTCCTCCAGGCAGCGTTTCGAGTCTCCTCCCGAGATTGCAGGTCTTTATAGGCTGTGGGAAAGGCACTGGCTCATTCCTTGGGCACAGAGGATCTGATCCTGTGCTCAGCACGGAGCCCTCCTCCCACTGCCCCAAACTCTGCCTGGCTGTCTCTTCCCCTCCCCCACTCCACCCCATGCCTCAGACTGTTAGCAAACACTATCTGCTTTGACAATCTCATCCAATCAGTACATTTGTTGACAACTCCCAAATTCATGTTTTCAGCCCAGAACTCTCCCTCAGGCTCCAGATTCACATATCTGGTGCCCAGCTGACATCCATACTTGGATGTGTCAGCATCTCAAATGAAACACGTATGAGGACCAAAATTACACTCCTGACCCGTCTAATGTACTCCTCCTAGGGTCTCAGTGACACACAGCTGCTCGAGCAGGAGTCTGGGAGTTCTGGAGTCCTCTTCTCCCTCCCTCACTCCACACAGACGATTCACCCATAAGTCCCATTGGTTCCACCTCCAGACTAATGAATCTGTGGACTTCTGAGCATCCTCACTGCCACCATCTTAGGCCAGGCCACCATCCTCTCCTGCCTGAACTGGTATAACCAACTCCTGATGCCCCACTTTCTTGCTTGCTCTACAAAGTGCTCTTGGCAAAGCATAACAGTCAGAAGAATCATGTTAGAACACAAATCAGGTCATGTCATGCTGCTTAAAATGTTGCAACAGCCTCCCATTGCCTATAGAATAAATCCCAACTCATCCCCACTGCCTGCAAGGCCCAGCCTGATCTGGCTTGTCCCCATCTCCTTACACTCTTCCCCACTCTCTTTATATCAGCCTCCCTTGCACACTACAAAATGCCAAAGGCCTTTCCCCACCACAGGGCCTTTGCACGTGTTGTTCCCTCTACTCAGAATACCTTTCCCTTGGAATTCACAGCTGGCTCCTTCTCATGCTTTAGCTGAGCTTACATTTCACCTCCTCAGAGAGGCCTTCTTTGTCTATCCAAGCCAATGTAGGGTTCCATGTTTTTCTCCATCATTTCTCCCTGTCTCTTTATTATTTTTAATAATCTGAAATTATCTTTTTTGTTACTTTATGTCTGAGGTGGTGTCTCCCTCTGCTAGAATGTAAATTCCACAAGGGCACTAATGCATTTGCATTGTCTATGTGGGGTGACAACAGAGAAAGGGGACTAGCATGGGCTCCTGCAGGGTGCCCAGCCTACCCCAGAGATGGTGCACAACGTAGAGCTCTCCTATCTGTGAGAAGAAGCCGCCCACCGCCTCCTGGTTCTCCTGCCGGTACTTGATGGCCCGAGCCCTGGGGATGACAGGAGAGTATGGGGCTGAGGCTGGGCCGGTGCAAAGGGCCCTCTGACGTGTCCTCAGGCTGACTCTCGGCTACACCTCAAGGGAGGGGCCTGAGGTAAGGACCCCTGGCTCTCAGAGGAGATAAGGGAATGGGGTGACAGAGGTGCAGCCGCTGGCTAGCTGTTCTACCAGGGGAGGCCTCACAATCCACTAGAAGATCCTCACGTCCTGGCTGGATCCTCCTCCTGCATCCATGAGGGGCAGAGGATGCCGGGTTCCTTGCCATATGGCCCGGGGAAAGGTGGTCCACCAGGGACCTTGGCAGGGCAGGTGGGCAGGGTCCCCCCAACGCCCTGTCACTGCCACTCACCAGTTGTTCCCCCACTCGATCATGGTTCCTGGCTGAAAGAGAATTAGAGGAGAGGATGGAAATGAGCTCCCACCTTGAATTTCAAGCATCATGCTGGGCAGAGATGAGAAACTGTTATGTCTCCCCAGCTTCAGGAGCTGCTTGGCCTCATTCAGGGGCCCTGACTTGCACCTGGGTGGATGCACATGTGCACACACACCTCTGTTCTGAGTCCAGAGGGAGGGAAAGGCCAGAAGCCCCATTCTAGCTGCTGGGGCACAGGGCCTGCCCACCTCAGGGTATCTGTTAGGCAGTACTGCAGCAAGGAAGGTGGGAGGCAGACAGGGATCTGGAGGGAGGGAAGCACCTTGAGCTTGTATGTCCTCAGCTCATAGATGTTGGGGCCCGCTCTGGGCTGTGGCTCATTCCAGAAGCTGAACTCAAGGAGCAGCTGGTTTCTCCGAGACAGCAGCATCTGGCTCCGCTCCTTTCGGAACTCCAAGTACTCCTGCAGGTATGGCAGCCTGGGCATGGCAGCCAGGAAGCGCCCCCACCCCAGCAGTGTGCCCCATGGGGTGGTGGAGGCAGCCCCCAGCACGGCTGAGCCGGAACCAATATCCAGAGAGGTTTGCCAAGTGGATGCCAACATACCTTGTTGTTTTTGAGCTTGTTCATGCAGTCCATGAGGGCTGGGTAGCCGCCTGAGAATCGCCACAAGTGCACTGTTGGGGGGCAGGGGAGATGGAAGGTGCAGGTCAGGGGGCCACTGGGACCCTGCCCTGCTTACCCGAAAGCTGCTTAAGTGTGTATGTAACGGGGGCAGTCTCCAGCCTGGTCCCCTGTAGCACCAGGACTCTGAGTTCCCTTTGTCTTGATAAGGAGCAGCACTGGGCAGGGCATGACCCCAGACGCAAGCCCAGGAGACCCAGGCTTGCAGTCCAGCTCTGCCCAGCAGTCTTTGACCCCTCTATGCCTCGATGTCCTCATCTTTATTTATTTTTTAAAGATTGGCACCTGAGCTAACATCTGTTGCCAATCTTCTTTTTTGTTTTTCTTCTTCTTCTTCTCCCCAAATCCCCCCAGTACATAGCTGTATATTCTAGTTGTAGGTCCTTCTGGTTGTGCTTTGTGAGGGATGCTGCCTCAGCATGGCCTGATGAGCAGTGCCATGTCCGCACGCAGGATCTGAACCAGCAAAACCCTGGGCCGCCGAAGCAGAGCGCGCAAACTTAACCACTCAACCACGGGGCCAGCCCCCAATGTCCTCATCTTCAAAATGGAAATCATGCTCCCACCCATAAACAGCACCAAGAGGATCAAATGTGTCCTTGTACCCAGGAGCAGCAGAATGCATAAAGCTGACCACCAGCCCTGTGAGGGACAGGCTAAACAAAAGGAGGGGGCAGGTCTGATGGGTTGAGATGGAACATTCCAAGACAGTGAATTAAAAAAGAAACCAAGGAACAGAACAGCATGTACAATATGCTACCACATGTGTTTAGGGGTGGAGGCACATATCCAGAGATGCTGGTCTATGCACCATCCCTTGGTGGAGACTCAGGAGGTTATGAGAGGAGATGCCGCTGGGGCAGAGAACGGAGGCCTGGGGGTTATGGGCCAGAAGGAGGCTTATTTTTCACTGAAAACTCTTTGTACTATTTGAATTTTTTATCATAGCCTCTGTACCAGGTTAAATAGCATCCCCACTTTCCCCAAGTTCATGCCTACCCAGAATCTCAGAATGTGATCTTATTTGGAAATAGGGTCTTTGTAGATGTAATCAAGCTCAAATGAAGTCGCACTGACTGGGTCCTAAATTCAGGGACTAGTGTCCTCATAAGAGGAGGGAGATTTGGACACAGAGAGAGAACGCCATGTGAAAACAGAGACGTCCAGGGAGAATGCTGCCTATGCGACAGCAGAGGTGGAGACTGGTGCGATGCATCTACAAGTCAAGGAAGGCCAGGGATTGCCGGCAACCACCAGAAGCTGGAAAAGGGAAGAAAACATTCTCCCTTAGAGTCTTTGGAGGGAGTGTGGCCTGGTGACACTTTGATTTCAGACTCCTGGGCTCCGGAACTTGGGAGAATAGGTTTCTGTTGTTTTCAGCCATCCAATTTGTGGTATGTTGTTATGGTGGCCCTAGGAAACTAATACACCTTCTAATAGTAAAGAAATCTAGTTACTGTGGAAGAGAAAAAGGAAACAGTCTTGCCATCCTTGGGAGCATGGCAGGGCCCACGGGAGGAAGGTCCCAAAAGAGTCAACAGGGCAGGATAGAGCTGAGGGCCCTCCGCCGAGCAGCAGTTTGGAAGCTCAGACTCTGTTACTTCCCATCCTCAGCCTGTCCCTCGCCTGCCTTTTGACTCCATCTCTGCCTTGATTTTTCCCATCTGCAAAATGGTCTGACCCTGTGGTTCAAAGGCCTCTTTCCCAAGGGAAATGGAAAAAGCACAGTATGGATGGAAGTCTACCCAGACCAGGAATGCTGGCCAGGTAGAGGGATTCAACTCATACTGGAGGCCCAACAGGGAAGAGCTATGGGCAGGGCATCCTAGGTTCACAAAAAGAAAGAATTTTCTCACAATGACATGATAGTGATCCTTCTAGAAGGTGGATCAACGGTTCTTACAAATTCATTAAAATGTAGATTCCTGAGCCCTACTCCTAGGGGATGGTTCTGAGGGTCTGCTGCCCAGCTGATTCGATATGGGGGACAACACATCAAGATACACAAAATAAAGGACAAGCTTTAAAAATTGAGGATCCCATTCCTCAAAGTTATTTTCCCAACTAGCAAATACTTAGGAGAATCCAAGGAGTACGGCTAGAACTGAGCCTAAAATGGGAAAACTGTAGGGGCTGGAACTGAAGACAGTTTGCTTTTCTCTTACCTGCCTACCGATGTGTCAACGTCTGTTACTGAAACAGAATAAATGATTAAAGGAATCTACCTATCTGCAGGTCACAGATTGTTTTTAAAAGACACATATAATTATCAGGGCTGCTGAAGGATGAGATAGATTGGCTTACAACAGAGTGAGCTCCCCATTGCTGGGAGTATTCAAGGGAAGTTTAGAAGATGCTCGATCAGGGCTCTGTGCTATGCAGTTTAAATCAGCACTGTCCAAAAGGACTTTCAACTAGGGCGGAAATGTTCTATAGCTATGCCGTCCAAGATGGTAGCTAGGAGCCACGTGTTTCTATCAGTGGGCACCTGAAATGTGGCTAGTGTGACTGAGGAAATGAATTTTTCACTTCATTTCATTTTACTTAATTTAAATTTCAATAGCTCTATGTGGTTAGTGGCTGCCTTCCTGGATAGCACAAGTCTAAATGCCAAGGCCCCTTTGAGTGGCTGAGATGCTGTGGGTCAACCAAATTCACATGTGGTCCTGGGAGCTGGTGGGTATGTTGGGGTGGGATAGGACATGCTGGAGGCACTCCTGGGAAGCTGTTAAGGAACCAGCTCAGACAAGAGCCCCTGTTTATTCCACAAATACACGCTGAATACTGAGGATTTGGTGGTGAAGAAAGACAGGCAGGGGCCCCGCCCACACAGAACTCACCAGCTATATGGGGAGACAGACAAGTACACTACAGGGACGCATGATCAGGGCTGTGGAGAGGCAAGTCCTAGGGGCTGGGGAGTCCAAGGAGGTGCCTGACCCAGCTTGGGTGGAAGGGATCAGGGGAGGCCTCCAGGAGGAGGTGATGTCTACGCCAAAATAAAAAATGAATAGAGGAGTGAGCCAGTAAAGCAGGGAAGGGAGAAAGAATGCTTCAGGCAGAGGAAACAACATGAACAATATCCTGGAACTAGAAGGCGAAACTGTGAATGTGAAGAATTGAAAGAAATTCTGGGTGGGACAGCACAGTAAGCAAGGAAGATATAGTGAGATGAGGCCAGAGGCTGGGCAGGGAAGGACTCACAGAGCCACATGTGCTGCTCCAAGGGCAGAGGGGAACCCCCACAGATGTTTGAGCAGCGGAGTGTAGCAATGAGGAATGCATTTAGAAAGACCCCTCTGGGTGCTGCTGTGGAGAGGGAGTGGAGGGCAGCCAGGTATGAGGGGTGCCAGAGGCCCGGGCTGGGTGCCAGTGGCACTGGGGAGGTGGGCCCCTCACCTGCCTGGTCTTGCTCCCCATACCATGTGTTCCAGTTGCCCACGAGCGAGCAGGGGTAGTCCTCATCCAGGTGCAGCTTGGGCAGCACAGCCTCCCTGTGGGAGGGGCACAGAGAGGGGGCAGGGTTCATACCAGCCACCAGGGTCCCTGAGATAAAGATCCAACTCAGGCCCTCAGGGCTGGGCGTCAGTCTCCCCATCTCTAAGATGCAGAGGCTGGACAAGACATCTTTAGGACTTCCAGCTCTGAAATCTATATCCCTTGGATTTCTTTTTTTTTTTTTTTCTTTTTAGGAAGATTAGCCCTGAGCTGACATCTGCCACCAATCCTCTTTTTTTGCTGAGAAGACTGGCCCTGAGCTAACATCCATGCCCATCTTCATCTTCCTCTATTTTCTATGTGGGACGCCTCCCACAGCATGGCTTGACAAGCGGTGTGTAGGTGTGCATCCAGGATCCGAACTGGCAAACCCCGGGCCACCGAAGCAGAGCACGTGAACTTAACCACTATGCCACCAGGCCGGCCCCTCCCTTGGATTTCTGCAAGGAGAACAGGGCTGGAACGGAGGTCCCCACCCAAGCAGGGGCTGGGATGGGCGGATGGAGGAAGATGCTCACGTCAGGCTGTTGTAGGCATCCAGATACTCAGGCTTCACATTGTGAACTGCAACAGAAGACAGAGAGCAGGAGGTGAAGCAAGAGGCGGGTGTGTCTGCAGGGAGCTGGGGTGGGGGGAGCCCCACAGGGCCAGGGCTCCTAGGACAGCTCAGAATGTCCCAGCCCCTCATCTCCCAGCTGGAGCCTTGCAGGTCCTCAGAGGTCCCAGGAGGGCAGACTGGCTGGCTTAGCAGCCACTCACACTGAATCTTGTAGAGGTTGCTGGTCTCCTTCTTGGATAGCAGGGTGGAGTGGGCGTCCTTCCGGGGATCCACCTTGTGCACAAAGAGGGAGCGGAACCAGCTGCCTTCATTGTCCTTGGAATAGAAGCTGCAGGACAAAGGAGTTCAGGGGGACATGCCAGGGTTGGAGGAGCCCTGGCTCTTTGATCAGCTCAGATGCCCTGCTCCCTCAGGCTGGTGACCCATATTTCTGGGAACGGGGCCATGGAATCCCATGGTGGCTCCAATGTAACATATCATTGGAGCCAGCTGAGCAGATCTGGTCCCTTCTATAGAGATCCTGATTGCTCAGTTTGCTTCTTGAAGCTCTGCAGGGCCTCAGAAGGCCTGGAGAGGCAGCCCCACCTCCTATCTCTCTCTCTAGTCTCCCTGCCTCCACTTCACCCCCTTCCAAAGGGTCCTCCACTTGGGCCACACTACTGCAGCCCCTCGCCAAGAGGCAAACCAAGCCCAAAACCACCTTGCTGAATGACCGGAGCCCTTGACAGCCCAACCTATCTTGTCAGCCTCCCCTCGTGTGTCTCCCCCCAACCTGTGTACCCCACTTCCAGATATGCTCCTCCCTGAACACACCAGGCTCTTTTACTCTGTGCTTTCTTTGCAATTTCTGTCTCCTCTGACAAGAAGGCTGTACTCAGCCTCCTCCCCAATGCTCCCACTACACTTGGCCTGTGCCCCTTCCAGCCACCATAAACAGAGAGTCAAAGACAAATAAGCTTTGTCCTGGAAGAGGTCACAGTCGGCTGGAAGAAATGGGCCTTGGAAATACAATTACAGCTGGAGGTCTCCGGGAGAGCCCAGGTGAGCAAGCCTGAACTCGGCCTCTGGCCGTCTGGGCAGGCTCTCCAGAGCAGGGGATCTGGCCAATCTCCAAATCTCCAGGGCTGATTTGGCAGATAAAGGCAGAGAGAGTGGGTAAAAGGCACTGCAAGGTAAGATTCACTCATTCATCCAGCCAACACTTAATTGACAAATACCTGCCCGGTGCAGGGTGCTATGAGAATGAACGAATGAATGAATGATGTGTCTTGTTCAGAGCAGGGGGACTTGCCACTAGATCCTGCCAGACCATAACTGCACTTCCCACGTAAGATCCCAGCAGGGGCGGGGCTTATTTTTAGGCTGCCAGAGGCTCTAAATCTTGCTCAGCAAGTGGATGGGTCTTGCAACAGCAGTGGATCAGCTTGTAGCCAGGCCTGAAATGCAAGCCTCCCACTGGATGGTTTCTTGCCAGGGTGCCTAGCAGTTGGGGCACTGTCAGCAGCTCCTCCCCTTTTTCGAGCCTTTTCTGTGGCTAGAAGAAATGTCTTGCAAATCAAAGTACTACTTTTTTCCAAAATACGGAGCAGTCACTGGGACTGATGAAATTTTAAAAAGCCTCTTATAGTGATGACAGATTTGTATGAGGATAGAGAAAGATGAGTAAGGATTTGTCCCAGACTGTTAATACTGCTCACCTAGGAGAGGGGGATGGTTAAATTTTTCTTTATTCATTATAATTTTTTGCAAAGCTAAAAAAAATTGTTTTACGTGTTTCTGAATTCATAGGCTTTCTGTCCTTGTGCATGTAGTGCTTTATTAACAAAAAACAAAAAGACAATCATCAGAGGGGCAGCACGGTCTGTGAAACTTTTGGACCAGAATAAGGGAGGTTCGCTATAGACACCACTTGCTGAGGACATCCTCTGTGCCAGAGATCTGTGATCAACTTGTCTGTAGCATGATCCCGTTGAATCTATACAATAAAGTTATAGTGTTGGTACTGTTAGTGTCCCCATTTTCAAGACGAGAAAATAGAAGATCAGGGAGTTTAAGGAACCTGCCCAAGGTCACATAGGAAATCAGGTGCAGAGCTGAAGCAAGAACCAACGCAGAGCTTTTTCCTCTAAAGCCAGCTCCCACCTTGGGTCCAGCACTGACCTGGGGAGCATCATGGCAGATACTGTGAAGAAGTAGGTGTTTTTAACAAAGCCACTGGCAGACCGACCTGACCTTTGGTTTGAATGTAGAAGGCTGCTTGCCCTGGAGGGGTGGTGGCAGGGAAGAGAGCAGCTCCTCCTATTTGTCAACTAAGACCTTTGTTCCAGAATTGGGCTTCAGGTAATTTATTAACATCGGTACTGATCAAGATAAACAGACAAGCAGCCAGCCTTGGAGAGAGAGCCTGGAGGCTGGAATGCTGGGGAGTGAAAGGGTCCAGGACTTCTGATGGGCTCCTGTCTCTTCCTAATACTCTCTAATCTTTCCTGCCTATGGGCCTCAGTTTCCCCATGTGTCAAATGAGCAGGGTGGAGCAGCCTATCTCTAAAGATCTTTTCTGTGAGTAAAACCCAAGATGGGACATGTCCAAGATGCCAGGGTAGGTTCTGAACTTGAAGCCAGCATCTGTAGGCTCACATTTTCAAGAGTTCAAATTTCACTCTCTCTGTGAAATTGCAACATTCTCCTACTTGTGAACTCCCCAATGCCTCCCACCCTGCTCTCTGTTTTTCTGTAGCTCCTTCTAACACACTATATAGTTTTTGGCTTATTATGTGCCTTATTTGTCTTCTCACTAGAAGCAGCCCCAAGAGGACAGCGATCTTGTCTGTTCTGTGTATTCCCGCTGGATCCCCAGTGCCTGGAACAGGGCCAGGCACATGCTCAGTCTGAGTTTGGGAATGAATGGGGGTGGGGGAGGGCTAAGGCAGAGCTGCATGCAAATGATGACAGCTGGAAGGTAAGAAAGGACAGAAAGGGTGGACCTTGGCTCAGAGCGTGGACTCGGGGCTCAGAGGCCCTTTCCATCCCCACCATCAACAGCATTAGTGCTTAAGAGCACAGGTTCTGGACAAATCCGGATTCTAATCCCAGCTCAGCTTCATCTCTCTGAGCCTCGTTTTCTTCATCTATAAAATAGGGGCAGTAGGATGGACCTTTTAGAGAAAGGGCCTGACATGGCAGTGCAGCTAACATCACTCTTCCCACCGAACTTCCAGACTGACCTCCTAGCTCCCACTCTTTCCCCACTTTTCCTAATCTGCTCAACAATCTTTGAAAAACACCATTTTTGTGATGCTATTCCTCTGCTCAAAAGTCTTCTACGGCTCCCCACTGCCAACTGCCAACAAAACAAAGGCTGGATGTCTCCACTGGGGATCTGAGCTCTAAACTACTTTGCCAAGCTTTCCAGAGTCAATTCCCTTTTAAATTTGGTGACCATAGAGCCAGGACTCCCTATCCCTATGGTTCTCAAACCCACAGTATTAGCATCACCTGAGAATGCTAAAAATTCTCAGGCCCCATCCCAGACTTAACTACATAGAAACACTGGGTGTGGGCCAAGCCATTTGGGTTTTTTGTTTTTGTTTTGAGGAAGATTAGCCCTGAGTTAACATCTGCCGCCAATCCTCTTTTTTCTCTGAGGAAGATTGGCCCTGAGCTAGCATCCGTGCCCATCTTCCTCTACTTTATATGTGGGACACCTGCTAGAGCACGGCTTGACAAGCGGTGAGTAGGTCCACACCCGGGATCCCAACCGGCGAACCCCAGGACACCAAAGTGGAGCATGTGAACTTAGCCACTGCACCACCAGCCCGGCCCCGCCATTTGGGTTTTAACAAGTCCACCAGGGAATTCTGATGCATGCTCAAGTTTGAGAATCACTGCTCTAGAGCAGTCTCAATTTCCCTTTTCTTTTCTCATGTATTCTCAGTAAATCATCCTAGAAATGCCAAAGATTCTGGTATCTCAACTATATGCCTGTTAGCCCTAGAAAAACACAATTATAGCTTTGTGCAATCTACAGGAAGCGTCTGCCCCAGCTGGACCTGTTCAGCCCCTTCCACAAAAACACTTTTCCTCTTTCCCCCTCAGCCCTTTCATCATTTCCCTATGAATATGTCTTGTCTCCCCAGCCACACCGGAAGTCACTAGCTGATGTCCTTCCATCCCCCAGAGTACCTAGTGCTTTTGGCATGGGAGTTGCTCAATAAATATTTGTCCCAGATGAGAACTTTTCAGTAGATGACACATTTGCACTCTCAAAAGAGATCAATAGTCTGATGCCTCCCCACATGAAACTGCTCCAGAATGTTCTAGATTCGTAGGCTAGGAAGCTCGAATCTATGCACATTCTGAAACACTCTCCTGTTTTGAGTTGGCTAGCTTTAGAAAGGGGTCACGTTTCTGCTTGTTGTTCCAGAAGTGTCTTTAGAAGACACATTAGAAGGAGAACTAGAAAGGCTAAAGTTCTGTGAACAAGAAGACTATCGGTGCAGCAGTAACAGTGCTGTTTATTGAGCCCTTACTATGTGCTAAGAGCTAATCCTCACAATATGCTTTTGCGAAAAATGAGGCTCAGAGATGTTCCATGCCTTATTCGAGGATGGTTAATCAACAGCCAAGCGGATTCTAACCCAGGTCCATCTGATTTCTAAGCCCACACTCTGTCCCCACCCCAGCAGCCCTAAACCTCAGAGGCCAGAAGGACTGCTGCTGGCCCCTCTGGTGACTCCAAAGAGATGTGGAACAGACTGTCGGCAGGAGGGGATGTTCCCAGGTATCCAAGGTGGGACCAGCACGTAAGTGACTGGGAAGCAGTCCTTGAGAGACCTGATAAGTATTAATCCAAGTGCCTTCACAGCAATCCTCTAAAAACCCCCGGCAGGGATCACCATCCCCACTTTATAGAGAAAGAAACCGAGGCTCACAGAGATTCTGTGACTCATCCTAGGTTACCAAGCGAGGAAGTGAGGAGCAGCAGGCTGTCTCTAAGTCCCATGCTCCTTTTGTGGCTGCCGGATATTTGCCACACAAACGGTTCTACCACCAAGCGATTCTGTAACCCTGCGAATTTGCAGTCCTACCTGCAGCCTTGATTTCCTCTCCTGGAAAACAGGGGGCTCATGGAAGGTGATCTCCCAAAGGCCCTTTCAGCCCTGATATTTGAGGGAGTCATGCAGAAATTGCTTGAGACCTAGGCTGGGGCAAGTGGCAACATCCGTTGTGCGTTCACCAGGGGCTAGAGACCTCACACACACGGCCTCTTTAATCCTCAACAGCCCTGTGAGATACATCCCCATTTTACAGATGAGGAATCTGAGACCTCCAGAGGGCAAATGATTCACCAAGGTCACCCCACTAAGAAAAAGACTGAGTTAGATTTGCTGGTGCCAGGCAAACTCCAGGCTCTTTCCAAGAAACCAGCTTTCTCTCCAATTATTGGACAGTTGGGGAAGGGGCACGTGCCCAGCGCCTCTTTCCTGGCTGCCCCAAAGCCCCCCCGCACAGCGTTCTAACATCTCATGGCAAGGTCTAACAGAACTCTGCAGCTTCACACCTGGGCTGCCGGGTAGGAAGGACCCCTGCTTCCTTTCCACAGGTTGGGGGGGACAGGTGTCCTCACTTCTTTGGCAAATGTTCTTGACCATACACTGTCCTGAGCCCTGTACCAGGGGCTGGGGAAACAGAAAAATGAGATGACGGTCTCGTAGGGGAGACAGGCAAGCGTGTACATACAGGGCGATAGCTGCAGAGATGGGGGAAGTACGGGCCTCTGGGGGCAGAGGGGAGGGGCCTCCCAGGGCCAGTCAGGGAGGCCAAGCCCTGCCTCAGCCCACACCAAGGCCCAAACAAAAGCCCAGGCTGAGCGCATGGTCCAGCTAGCCTCCCTCTCCCGGGAGGCCACCAGTTGTGGTGCAAAGAGCACGGGGTGTCAGGAGACCTGGGTCCGGACCTAGCGCTGCCACAGGACAGCAGGAAGAGTGACCTTGGGCAACTCCTATCCCTTCTCAGGCCTCCTTTGCCCAACCTATACTGTTCAGGTTGGGGGGCAAAGGGTCAGTGCAGCCATGGCCCTTGGAGATCCCCCATTGCTCCCGGTATCTCCTCCCCCCATATCTTCCCGAGGGAGGAGCTGCCTCTCCTAGAAGCCCCCAGTGGCTGCTGTCTCTCAACCACCGCAAAGGCCTGGAGAAGGGGCCACTCCTCCCGCCGCTGCCCGCTGCCACTCTCCAGGACCCAGGACGTGCCCCTCCCATTTAGCCCATCTTTCACGCTCTGCCCAGAGCCAGGTGCTCACTAGACAAAGACCCTGCGCAAACCTTTCCCATCTCCCCCATTCTTTGCCCAGCGCCCTTCCCCAGGCCTAGATCCTGCCCCTGCCTCTAACCCAGTGATTCCAAGCCTGAGTCTCTGCCCATCCCCCAGGCCCACACCCTGGCCCCAGCCCCTGCACCCGCCGCGCGCACCGCCCCCGCTGGGCCCGGCTCTCACCGCGCCGCAGCTGCAGCCGCCACATCCCCGGCGCGGGGCCCCGGGCCCCCCAGCAGCCGCCGCGCCGCTGCAGAGATGCTGCACAGCCGCGGAGCCATGTTGGAGCCCTGCAGGTTGGAGGAAGGCCCCGCCCCCGAACCCGGCGGGGGAGGCGGGGCGTGAGTAAGCCACGCCCCCACGGGCTTGCCAGCCTCTCTCTGCAAGGGGCCGGATCGGTGTTCCCGCGGTACTTCTCCCAACTTTACGGATGCTGGGCGAAGTCGGAGTTCTTGTCCTGTAAGCCCCTGCTGCTCTACAATTGACTTGCTCTGTGACCTTGAGCAAGCCCTTTGCCCACTCTGGGCCTCAGTGTCCACTTTGGTAAAATGGGAGTGTTGAACAGTGACACCAGCAATTCTTAACTGGGCGTTCAAGGATGCGCAACAGAGGGTCCAAAAGCCCCCTGAAATTGTGCGTTTTTCTAGGGAGGAGGGGTGCACAGGCAGTGTTTATCACATTATGAAAGGAACAAACCCCCTAACAATTTAAGACAGGTGGACAAGGCTCTGGGCCGCAGAGACGCTTTTTCTCCATCATCTCCTTTTCTCTTTCCATCTCTGCCTGGGCCTTCTGAAAACCTCCCACCCCCACCCCGCCCAGCTCTTTTGCCTGCCCTCTAAACTAATCCCTTCTCAGTCCACAATCTCCCAGGTCACAGACCTTACTTAGCAGGGGCAGAGAGCCTGCAGACCCCACAGTGGGGGCCCAGGGACCTAAATGCTTCCAGAGGGACATGCATATGTGCAGGCACACCCCCCAAAAGAATGTCCACCCGCTGACCTGTGGTTTCCTCCTGGTATGCTTGGGGTGGGGAAGTGGAGGGCAGGCTGTAATTTCCAGATTTCTTTTGTTTTGTTTTGTTTTGAGGAAGATTAGCCCTGAGCTAACTGCTGCCAATCCTCCTCTTTTTGCTGAGGAAGACTGGCCCTGAGCGCACATCCATGCCCATCTTCCTCTACTTTATATGTGGGACACCTATCACAGCATGGCTTGCCAAGTGGTGCCATGTCCACACCCAGATCAGAACCAGCGAACCCCAGGCCGCCGAAGCAGAATGTGTGACCTTAACTGTTGCACCACTGGGCCAGCCCTAATTTCCAGATTTCTTCATCAAATATTGAGTCAGCCTGGCTCGCCTCTGTGCTAAGCTCTGAGACACCAAAAGTGGGCAGAACAACAAGCCTACAGCCTTCTTGGGACTTAAGGCCTGGCAGCAGGGAGAAAACAAATCAGCACTGACTTTGAGCCCCTCCAGGGCAGACGCCGTAGGCCTCTCTCCCCTCACCTTTCCTGCCTGACACATTAAATATTTACTGAATAAGCGACAAATGTACACAAAAATATTGTATAGCCAACTGCAGTGAGGCTATGAAGAAGTATGGGGAACTATGAGGTCTTTTGATGGGTGGAGAAGAGAAGGGAGATCCTATATAGACTTTGAGGGTCAGTGATGACTTCTATAAGGAAGTGAGGCTTGAACTATGATTTTTTTCTTGTTTTCAAAAGTTATTATGCTGAACATGTATTATTTGTGTGATTTATTTAAAAAGGGAACTGTAGAGGGCCAGCCTGGTGGTGTGCTGGTGAAGTTCACGCACTCTGCTTCAGCGGCCTGGGGTTCGCAGGTTCAGATCCCTGGCACGGAGCTACATACCGCTCATCAAGCCATGCTGTAGCGGCGTCCCATATACAAAATAGAGGAAGATTGGCATGGATGTTAGCTCAGGGACAATCTTCCTCAAGCAAAAAGAAGAAGATTGGCAACAGATGTTAGCTCAGGGCCAATCTTCCTCACACACACAAAAATAAATAAAAATAAAAAGGGAACTGTAAATCATCAAGATAAGTGGAAAACCTGAATTGATTGTCATAAACAGGCCAAACCATCAAAATAAACACAATGAAGACAGCAGTGTGGCTGTGTACCCTGAGAACTGCTCTCTGTGTTAATAAAGAAGAGCACAGAGAGGGGTTAGAGACACAGCTGGGCCCAGTGGCTCCTTGGGCTTATCAGAGGGACAAAAACAGAGTGAGCCCCTCATTCTGGAAGTTAGTGTGATTGAAGGGTTCCCAGTCACAGCCACTCAGGAACAACGCAGATGGGTAGCTGGAAAAGCAGCAAAGAAGATGTCACTGGTGTCATGTGGTAGAGTTGCTCTCCCCTTAGGAACCAACTGTAGCAGGCATGGAGAGGTGGAAGTGACCACCACCACTGGGCCTCCCAGGAGGCCTAACCTTGGACCTAAGCTTTAGAGGATAAGTAGGGAAAGTTTGCTAGAAGGGAGCAGGGCAAGGAGAACCTTAGGCAGTGGAAGCAATACGTGCACAATGTGTGAAAGGGTGCCAAGAAGAAATGGCTTCGAATTGTTCAGCACAATTGAATATAATCAAAGGGTGGAGTTGCTGTGGAGGCAGCGTCTCACTCAGTACAAGGAATACTTTTCTAACAATGGAGTGGGCAGCCTTGGTGACCTGCCACTGAATTATGACAATAGAGGCTGCATAGCAACTCATTGGCCATATGGTAGAGGTCATTTGGCAATGAAGCCACAAAGTAGGACCCATGGACAGGGAGGGGCTGGCCCTCCTGGTCTAGGATGAGAATCCTCACCAAATTCTTGGTGTCTCTAACCACCTCTGCTGGGGGAATGAGGGAGGGTTGACTTGTAGCCTGCTCATGTCTGTCTAGGCATTTCCAAGAGGGATTTCCCATCTCCCTCTAGTCAAATTGGGCAGGAGGATCAAACTAGATGGCTTTAAAGATTTTATTTTTCCTTTTTCTCCCCAAAGACCCCCAGTACTTAGTTGTGTATTTTTAGTTGTGGGTCCTTCTAGTTGTGGCATGTGGGATGCTGCTTCAGCATGGCTTGATGAGCTGTGCCACGTCCGCACCCAGGATTCGAACCAGTGAAACCCTGGGCCACCGAACCAGAGTGCTCGAACTTAACCACTCTGCCATGAGGTTGGCCCCTAGATGGCTTTAGAAGCATGATCCCACCCCTAACTGGGAGAAATGGGAGACGAGTCTCCCTCCCCGTGCCATATGAACCACAGTATGGCAACTCACTGGAAGTGCATGTTTGAGACCCGCACTCCCGCCCCAGGTAGGGTGACCAACTCATTCCCGTTTACCCCAAACCTTCCCAGTTTTAGTACTGAAAGTCTCCCATCCCAGGAAAGCCCTCTGTCCTGGGAAACTGGGATGTTTGGACATGCTAATCGTGGCCCTATTTCTCTCCCCAGAACACAAACCCACTCCATCCCAGCATCTCTTCCTTGCTTAACCAACTCCATTTACCCTGCTTGAAGGAGTAGGGCAGGGGGGCTCTCTTTGCGCCACTCAGCAACACGCAATGCCAGTTAACCGAGCCCTTGGTATGAATGAGTCCCTGCTCCATGAACCGTGCATTCTGGGCAGCAGACCAGATAGATGTTGGACAACAATTCCACAAATAAGGAATTAGACCATTTCCAATTACTGTGGAATAAATTACCCCAAAATTTAGCAGCTTGAAACAATCAACATTTATTATCTCACACCGTTCCAAATGGGTCAGGAGTTTAGGAGTCAGCGTTAGCTGGGCTGGTTCTGGCTCGGGGTCTCCCACAGTGTTGCAGTCAAGTTGTCAGCTTGGGCTGTGGTCTTCTGAAGGCTTGACTGCGGCTGTGGGATCTGCTTCGAAGGCGGGTTGCTCACACACCTGGCAAGTTAGTGCTTGTTGTTGGCTGGGGGACTCAATTCCTTGCCACATGGGCTTCTCCAGACGCTGCTTGGGTGTCTTCACCACATGGCAGCTGGCTTCCCCCAAAGTGAATGATCCAAGAGAGAATAAGGGGGAAACTTCAAGGACTTTTATGACCTGCCCTTGCAAGTCACACTCTGTCATTTCTGTGTATCCTATTAGTTACACGTGTCAGCCCTGCTCAGTGTAGGAGGGGGCTTTACAAGGGTGTGAATACCAACACGTGAGAGTCATGGGGGCCATCTTGGAGGCTGGCTATCGCAATTAGGTTTTGTACCAGGCCCAACTTAATTATTGGGATTAGACTCAACTCTTCAAGCCATCTTCTATGAACAGCCCTCTCCAGCATCATTGCCTTCTGTCCTAGAATCTCTCCCCCGCTTCCTCTCTGAGGTCCCTTCCCACCTACCAAGAGTCGGTGACATCTCTTTTTCCTGAACCCATCCACCCCTCCCCTCTCTGCAGGCAGCTGACCCATCTCTTCTCCTCCCTCCCTCCCTTCCCAAGCTGCCCTCGCAGAATCCACCTTCATAACTCGTTGCCAAGCCCTGCTGCCTAATCTGTGAAATGAAATGAGAGCAACCAGGGACAAAGACGGATGGGCAGAGCTAAGCAGAGAAGAGCAGGCAGGTTCATAAGTGTAAAATATGGACAAACCTGCCATCATTTATTCTCTGGGACAAATAGATCATCACCAAATGGGCTGCAGATGAGTGAAGAGACAAATTACCCAGCTGTGGCAGTGTCACCTGCTTCTTATTGATGGGCGTTTGTGCACAGGCCCAACTGCTCTCTGAGAATTGCATCCCCCAGCTCCTATGGGACCCCAAACAGGAGTGACAGAGACAAGAAAGCTTTTATGTCTCTGCCGGAGCATGAGCCACACTGCCAAGTCCCAGCCTTTCTGTTCTGTGCAGCACATGCAGATACGAATTATGCGACTTTGACACAGTGCCACATGAAAACATTAACAAAGTGTCACTTCATGTATAACTTGGAAATCATACAAATACCTGAAAAAGAAAACATTTTAACTCATTAGATATTAAACAATTTCAATGCTGTCTGGATAGAATTATAAATTGAGCTCTTTTTTTTTGGTGAGGAAGATCGGCCCTGAGCTAACATCTGTTGCCAATCTTCCTTTTTTTTTTTCTCCCCAAAACCCCAGTACATAGTCGTATATCCTAGTTGTAGGTCATTCTAGTTCTTCCATGTGGGATGCTGCCACAGCATGGCTTGATGAGCAGTGTGCAGGTCTCCTCCCCGCCCAGGATCTGAACCGTTGAATCTCAGGCTACCGAACCAGAGCGCACCAACTTAACCACTCCACCACTGCCAGGCCCCTGGGT